TCCCCCCGGGGGTTTTTGGGTCCCCCCGGTGTTTCCGGGCTCAGTGCGGTTTGGGGACGTGCCCGTCCACGTAGAAGTTGCGGGGTGAGGCGGGGCAGGGCGATGCGCGCCCCCTCCAGCGCGGGGCTCAGCCGGAGCTGGCAGCCGAGCCGCGAGTTCTCCTGCAGCAGCGGCGCCTGGTCCAGCAGGTCCTCCTCCCTGCACGGAGCACGGACCGGGTAACGGGGCTACCGGGGGGGTACCGGGGGGGGTACCGGGGGGGTACCGGGGGGTACCGGGGGGGCCTTACCGCTCGTCCGGCGCCGGGAGCCGCGCCAGGTGCGGCTCGCTGATGTAAACGTGGCAGGTGGAGCAGGCCAGCGAGGCCTCGCAGGCACCTGCGGGAGGGGGACGGCCCGGTGAGCACCGAGACGGCACCGGGACCGCCCCGGGAGCACCGGGACCGCCCCGGGAACGCCCCGCTAGCACCGACACCCTCCCAGCAGCACCGGAACCGCCGCGGGACCCCTCGGTCAGTACCGGGAGCCTCCCGGAGCCCCAAGCGCGCTCCCCCCCAGCCCCGTTCCCAGCCCCGGTCCCGCCCCCGTCCCGTTCCCGGTCCCGGTCCCGACCCTCCAGCTCCAGCCCGTGCCGCTTGCGCCAGGTGCAGCACGTTGTCACCGACTCTGCCGCGCACCGGCACCTGCCGCCCCTCCCGGTCCACGAAGACGACGTTAACCCTACGGAAAGGGGGGGGGACACACGACACCGCGCTCAGCACCGGGACCCGGCTCCGTTCGGGCGCCGCCGCCCCGGGAGGGCGTTCCCGGTACCCACACGGCGGCCTCGGGCTCCTCGGCCGCGGCCCCGCCGCTGCTGAGGCTGCGGGAGACGCCCCGGAGCAGCCGCCGCGTCACGGAAGCGCCGCTCGCCGCCGCCATGGGCGCCGCCATGTTGGGCGCCACGTGACCGCCCCACGTGACCCGGGAGGGCGGAGCGATGAGGGGGCGGGGCCTGCCCTGGGTCCTGAGGCCCGGCCGCGGATTTGGGGCGAAATTTGGAAATTTTGGGGGAAAAATCGGGGAATTTTGGGCGTCCAGGGGAAGTTTGGAGGTCAGAGACGAGGAGGAGGCCACTCTGATGGGGGCGGGCGGTGTTTTGGGCGGGGTACTTGCTGATTTTTTGGGAGTTTTTGGGGGTCCCTGCCCCAGTTTGGGGGCACAGGACCAGCCCAAAATGGGGAGGGGGCGCAAGAGGCTCCCCCCGAAACGAGGGCACGGCAGAAATAACGAAATGAGACGGAAATAACAAAGAAAGAAGGGCGGGGAGCAGAAATATAAATAGAACTTTATTTTGGGGGGGGGTGAGGGGTGAGGGGGACACAGCCCCCCCCAAACCCCCCCTTACAGCAAAACCAGACGGTAAAAACAGGGAAAAAAATCAAATCCGGGGAAACGCCCCCAAAAAACAAAGGAGAAAGGAGGAAGATTTGGTAGATTAAAAAAACCACAAACAGCGTTAAAGTAAAAAGGCCGATTTTTACCCCAAAAAAAAAGCGTAAAACGGCAGCGGGTCCAGTTGTTAAAAAAAGGGGGAAACACACAAAAAAATAAACAGCGAAAAAATGCACCCAGTGAAATGTGTAAAGAGAGGGATTGGACCCCAAAAAAATGGGGGAAACCCCCAAAAAAAATGGGGAGACCCCCACCCCAAAACCAACCCCAAAATGGGGGAAAAAACCCCAAGATTGGGAAAAAGCGGGAATCCCCCCCAAAAAAGGCCTGGAATTTTGGGGACCCCCACCCCAAAAGCAGCAGTTAAGGCAGGGAGCGTTTTTGGGGGCTCCAGGGGCTGCTCTGGGGAGGGGGAGGCAGAAAAAAACCAAAAAAACCCCAAAAAAATTTAAGGGATTCTCCCCAAATCCTTCAAGGAGGCGCTGAAAATCTGAAAATCGCTTAAAAACAAAAACCACCAAAACAACCCCCAAAAAAACCCCAAAAAAGGGGATTAAAATAAAATAAATAAAAAAGAGAAATAAAATTGTGACGAAAATAAAGCAAAAACCAAGGCGGGGTTTGGGCAGGGTTTATAGATTTTGGGGTTTTTTTTTTTTGAGGTTTTGGTTTTTTTAAAAAAAAAAAAAAAAATTATCTTTCCGTGGTTACTTGGGTTTTTTTTTTAAGGTTTTGTTGTTTTTTTTTAAAAAAAAAAATTAATCTTTGCGGGTTTTTTTTGGGGGTTTTGTTTCTTTTTTTAAAAAAAAATATTTTTGCAGGGGTTTTTTGGGTTGTTTTTGAGGATTTTTAAAAATTTTTTGGTGGGTGTTATTTTGAAATTTTTGGAGTTTTTTTTTTTGATTTTTGCGGGGATTTTTCGGGGTTTGTTTTGGGGTTTGTTTGGGGTTTGTTTGGGGTTTGTTTGGGGTTTGTTTCGGTGTTTGTTTTGGGGTTTGTTTTGGGTTTTTTTGGGGATTTTTGGGGTTTGTTTTGGAGTTTGTTTCGGGATTTGTTTGGGGTCTGTTTTGGGTTTGTTTCGGGGTCTGTTTGGGGTTTTTTTGGGGGTTTTGTTTCGGTGTTTGTTTCGGGGTTTTTTTGGGATTTTTTTGGGGTTTGTTTTGGGTTTTTTTGGGATTTGTTTTGGGGTTTGTTTTGGGTTTTTTTCCGGGTTTGTTTTGGGTTTGTTTTGGGTTAATTTCGGGGTTTGTTTGGGGCTTTTTTGGGGTCTATTTTGGGTTAATTTTGGGGTTTGTTTTGGGGTTTTTTTTTGGGGTTTGTTTGGAGTTTGTTTGGGGTTTGTTTGGGGTTTGTTTTGTGTTTGTTTTGGGGTTTGTTTTGGGATTTTTTTGGGGTCTGTTTTGGGTTAATTTCGGGTTTTTTTGGGGTTTTTTTGGGGTTTTTTTGGGGTTTGTTTTGGGGTCTGTTTTGGGGTCTCTTTTGGGTTAATTTTGGGGTTTTTTTTGGGGTTTTTTTTGGGGTTTTTTCCGGGTTTGTTTTGGGGTCTGTTTCGGGGTCTGTTTTGGGTTAATTTCGGGGTTTTTTTGGGTTTTTTTCTGGGGTTTTTTCCGGGTTTTTTTCCGGGTTTTTTTGGGGTCTGTTTTGGGGTTTGTTTTGGGGTTTTTTTGGGGTCTGTTTTGGGGTCTGTTTTGGGGTCTGTTTGGGGTTAATTTCGGGGTTTTTGGGGTGTTTCCCCCCACTAAAATATCCGTTTTCTCTTCAGGTAGGAGTCGGCGTAGTGGCCGCCCAGGCCCTGCGAGTGCTGGCCCACGTAGGCGCCCTCGGGGCTGGGCTCGGGCGAGGGCAGCAGCTGCGAGGAGCCCCTCTTGTGCGGGCCCGGCGCCGCCTGCAAAACAACGGGGAGGATTGGGGGCATTTCGGGGGATTTCGGGTGAATTTCGGGGCATTTTGGGGCATTTTGGGGCATCTCGGGTGAATTTCAGGGCATTTCGGGTGAATTTCGGGGATTTTGGGGCATTTCGGGGCATTTTCAGGTGAATTTCAGGGCATTTTTGGGGCATTTCGGGGATTTGGGGCATCTCGGGGCATTTCGGGGCATCTCGGGGCATCTCGGGGCATTTTGGAGCATCTCGGGGCATATCGGGCATTTCGGGGATTTTGGGGCATTTCGGGGCATTTTGGGGCATTTCGGGGATTTTGGGGCATTTTGGGGCATTTCAGGGCATTTTGGGTGAATTTCGGGGCATCTCAGGGCATTTCAGGGATTTCAGGGCATTTCTGGTCATTTCGGGGCATTTTGGGCCATTTTGGGTCATTTTGGGGCATTTAAGGGCATTTCGGGTGAATCTCGGGTCATTTTGGGGCATTTTGGGGCGTTTCGGGGCATTTGGGGTCATTTTGGGGCATTTGGGGTCATTTCGGGGCATTTCAGGGCATTTCGGGGATTTTGGGGCATTTCGGGGCATCTTGGGGCATCTCGGGGCATTTCGGGTGAATTCGGGGATTTTGGGGCATTTCAGGGCATCTTGGGCCATTTCGGGGCATTTCAGGGCATTTCGGGTGAATTTCAGGGCATTTTGGGGTCATTTCAGGGCATTTTCGGGGCAGTTTGAGCCATTTCGGGTGAATTTCAAGGATTTGGGGCATTTCGGGGCATTTCGGGGCCATTTCGGGGGGATTTGGGGCATTTTTGGGGCATTTCAGGGCATTTCAGGTGAATTTCGGGGCATATTTCGGGGTGAATTTTGGGGCATCCTGGGGCATTTCCTGTCATTTCGGGCCATTTTGGGGCATTTTGGGGGCATTTTGGGTGAATCTCGGGGCATTTCAGGGCATTTCGGGGCATCTCAGTGCATTTTGGGGATTTGGGGTCATTTCGGGCCATTTTGGGGCATTTCGGGTCAGATTCGGGGCATTTCGGGTGAATTTCGGGGATTTTGGGTGAATTTGGGGTCATTTTGGGGTCATTTCGGGGATTTTGGGTGAATTTCGGGGCATTTCGGGTGAATTTCAGGGATTTTGGGGTCATTTCGGGCCATTTCAGGTGAATTTCGGGCCATTTCAGGGCTTTTGAGGGCGGTTTTAGGGCAGGGGGGGTTTTTGGTACCTTGGGGCGGGAGCCGGGGGCAGCCAAGGCCGGGATGGAGTCGGAGCTCGGGGGGGATGGAGGCGGCCTGGGGGAAACAGGGAACGAAAGGGTTAAAATGGAAAAAAACCCCAATTTCCCACCCCAAAAAAATGCAAAAAAAACCCCAAATTTCCACCCCAAAAGGGGGGGTCCTAAGGGGTTTAGGGAAGTTTAAGGGATTTTAAGGAATTTTAAGGGAGTTTTAAGGGATTTCTAAGGGATTTTAAGGGGTTTTAAGGGATTTTTAAGGGATTTTTTTAGGGATTTTAAGGGAGTTTAAGGGAGTCTAAAAGAGTTTTAAGGGATCTTTAAGGGATTTTAAAGGGATTTTTAAGGGAGTTTTTAAGGGGATTTTTTTAGGGATTTTAAGGGAGTTTTAAGGAATTTTTAAGGGAGTTTTAAGGAATTTTTAAGGGATTTTTAAGGGATTTTTAAGGGATTTTTAAGGGAGTTTTAAGGGATTTTTTAAGGAGTTTTAAGGGGTTTTTAAGGGAGTTTTAAGGGAGTTTAAGGGATTTTAAGGGAGTTTTAAGGAATTTTTAAGGGATTTTAAGGGAGTTTTAAGGAATTTTAAGGGATTTTTAAGGGATTTCTAAGGGATTTTTAAAGGGGTTTTAAGGGATTTTTAGGGGAGTTTTAAGGGATTTTAAGGGGATTTTTGAAAGGTTTTTAAGGGATTTTAAGGGGAAAAAAGGTCTGGGGTGAACATCATTAAAACTGAAGGGATTTGCCGGGATTTGCTGGGATTTTGATGGGATTTGCCGGGATTTGATGGCATTTTAATGGGATTTTGGTGGGATTTTGATGGGATTTTGGTGGGATTGGATGGGATTTTGATGATGAGATTTGAATGGGATTTTGATGGATTTTGCTGGGATTTTGCTGGGATTTTGATGGGATTTTTTGGGATTTTGACGGGATTTTTGACGGGATTTTGATGGATTTTGCTGGGATTTTTTTGGATTTTGCTGGGATTTTTTTGGGATTTTGATGGGATTTTGCTGGGATTTGATGGCATTTTGCTGGGATTTTTTTTGGATTTTTTTGGATTTTGATGGATTTTGCTGGGATTTTGCTGGGATTTTTTGGGATTTTTTGGGTTTTTTTTGGGATTTTGCTGGGATTTTTTGGGATTTTGATGGATTTTGCTGGGATTTGCTGGGATTTTAGTGGCCCACGGACAGAATTTCGGGGGTTTCAGGGTCAAAGGGCACAGCAGCAGCATTTGGGGAGGGTCGGTCTCACCTGGCTGGGGCGGGGGTGGCTCTGGCGGAGCCCGGCCTGGAGGCCGCTGCTGAAATGGGACCTGGGGGAGCCTGAGCCAAAGGGGGGGCCCAGAGCCGCCCGCTCCAGCCCCGGGGAGGAGCAGCAGGAGGAGGAGGAGGAGGAGGAGGAGGAGGAGGGAGACCTGCAAGGGAGCACGGCAGCTGAGAAAAAACCCAAAAAATGCAAAAAAAAACCCCCCAAAAAATGCAAAAAAAAAACCCCCAAAAATGCAAAAAAAAACCCCAATTTCCACCCAAAAAAAAAAACCCTAAAAAAACCCCAATTTCCACCCAAAAAAAACCCCCAAAAAGCCCCTATTTCCACCCAAAAAAATGCAAATTTCCACCCCAAAAAAATGCAAAAAACCCCCAATTTCCACCCCCAAAAAAATCCCCCGATTTCCACCCCAAAAAAACCCCAATTTCCACCCCAAAAAATGCAGAAAAAACCCCCAATTCCACCCCCAAAAAAATCCCAATTTCCACCCAAAAAAAATGCAAATTTCCACCCCAAAAAAAATGCAAAAAAACCCCGAATTTCTACCCCAAAAAATCCCGATTTCCACCCCAAAAAAATGCAAAAAAAACCCTGAATTTCCACACCAAAAAAATGCAAAAAACCCCCAATTTCCACCCCCAAAAAATCCCCAATTTCCACCCCAAAAAATGCAAAAAACCCCCCAATTTCCACCCCCAAAAAATGCAAAAAAACCCCAATTTCCACCCCCAAAAAATGCAAAAAAACCCCAATTTCCCACCCAAAAAAAGATCCAAATTTCCACCCCCAAAAAAACCCCAATTTCCACCCCAAAGAATCCAAATTTCCACCGCAAAAAAATGCAAAAAAAAACCCAATTTCCACCCCCAAAAAAATGCAAAAAAAACCCCCAATTTCCACCCCAAAAACCCCAATTTCCACCCCAAAAATGAGATTTTTTACCTTGTGCCTGCCGTGGCCGAAGCTCCCCCAGGATGGAGCCGGGGTCGCGGGGCTGGGGGAAAATCCTGGACCCCAAATCCTGCGTGGGGAAATCGGGGGGTTCAGGGGGGGGATCCCCGGATTGCCAGGAAAAATGAGGAGTTTGGGGCATTTTCATTAATTCCCATAAAAAACCTGAAATTTTGGGGTTTTTTTTCCTCTCCAAATTCCCATTTAAAAAATTGAGATTTTCGGGTTTTTTTTTTCCCTCCAATTCCCATTAAAAATTGAGATTTTGGATTTTTTTTTTCCCTCCAATTCCCATAAAAAAATTGAGTTTTTTGGTTTTTTTTTTTCCCTCCAATTCCCATTAAAAAACTGAGATTTTGGTTTTTTTTTCCCCTCCAATTCCCATAAATAATTGAGATTTTGGGTTTTTTTTTCCCTCCAATTCCCATTAAAAATTGAGATTTTCGGGTTTTTTTCCCTCCAATTCCCATAAAAAAAACCTGAGATTTTGGCTTTTTTTTTCCCTCCAATTCCCACTAAAAAAAATTGAAGTTTTGGGGGTTTTTTTTCCCTCCAATTCCCATTTTAAAAAATTGAGATTTTGGGGGTTTTTTTCCTTCCAATTCCCATAAAAAAACCTGAGATTTTGTTTTTTTTTTTCCCCTCCAATTCCCATAAAAAATTGAGATTTTGGTTGTTTTTTTTTTTCCCTCCAATTCCCATTTTAAAAATTGAGATTTTGGGGGTTTTTTTCCCTCCAATTCCCATAAAAAAATTGAAGTTTTGGTTTTTTTTTTTTCCCTGCAATTCCCATTTAAAAAATTGAGATTTTGGGTTTGTTTTTTTTCCCTCCAATTCCCATTAATAAATTGAGGTTTTGGGGTTTTTTTTCCCTCCAATTCCCATTTAAAAAATTTAGATTTTTGGGTTTTTTTCCCCTCCAATTCCCATAAAAAAATTGAAGTTTTTTTTTTTTTTTTTTTCCCTCCAATTCCCATTAATAATTGAGATTTTGGGTTTTTTTTTCCCTCCAATTCCCATTAAAAATTGAGGTTTGGGGTTTTTTTTTCCCCTCCAATTCCCATAAATAATTGAGATTTTGGGGTTTTTTTTTCCCTCCAATTCCCATTAAAAAAATGAGGTTTTGGGGATTTTTTTCCCTCCAATTCCCATTAAAAATCGAGGTTTTGGGATTTTTTCCTCCAATTCCCATTAAAAATCGAGGTTTTGGCCTTTTTTCCTCTCTAATTCCCATTTTAAAAAAATTGAGGTTTTGGGGATTTTTCCCCTTCCAATTCCCATAAAAAAATTGAAGTTTTGTTTTTTTTTTTCCCTCCAATTCCCATTTAAAAATTGAGTTTTTCGGGTTTTTTTTCCCCTCCAATTCCCATTAATAAATTGAGGTTTTGGGGATTTTTCCCTCCAATTCCCATAAAAAAATTGAAGTTTTGTTTTTTTTTTTTTTCCCCTCCAATTCCCATAAAATAATTGAGATTTTGGGGGTTTTTCCCTCCAATTCCCATTAAAAAATCGAGGTTTTGGGGTTTTTTTTCCCTCCAATTCCCATAAAAAACTGAAATTTTGGGTATTTTTTTCCCTCCAATTCCCATAAAAAAAATTGAAGGTTTGGCCTTTTTTTTCCCTCCAATTCCCATTTAAAAAAATCGAGATTTTCGGGTTTTTTTTCCCTCCAATTCCCATTAAAAAAATTGAGATTTTGGGGTTTTTTCCCCTCCAATTCCCATTTAAAAAATTGAGATTTTCGGGTTTTTTCCCCTCCAATTCCCATAAAAAAATTGAGATTTTGGGGTTTTTTTCCCTCCAATTCCCATTAAAAAAATTGAGATTTTCAGGGTTTTTTCCCCTCCAATTCCCATTTAAAAAAATTGAGATTTTGGGGATTTTTTTTCCCTCCAATTCCCACTAAAAAAATTGAAGTTTTGGGGTTTTTTTTTCCCTCCAATTCCCATTAATAATTGAGATTTTCACAGTTTTTTCCCCTCCAATTCCCATTAGAAAATTGAGATTTTCGGGGTTTTTTTTTTCCTCCAATTCCCATAAAAAAATTGAGTTTTTGTTTTTTTTTTTTTTCCCTCCAATTCCCATAAATAATTGAGATTTTGGCGGTTTTTTTCCCTCCAATTCCCATTTAAAAAATTGAGATTTTGCTTTTTTTTTTTTTCCCCTCCAATTCCCATAAAAAACTGAAATTTTGGGATTTTTTTTCCCTCCAATTCCCATTAATAAATTGAGGTTTTGGGGTTTTTTTCCCCTCCAACTCCCATTAGAAAATTGAGGTTTTGGGGGTTTTTCCTTCTAATTCCCATAAAAATTGAGATTTTGGGGTTTTTTTCCCTCCAATTCCCATTAAAAATCGAGGTTTTGGGGGTTTTTTTTTTCCCTACAATTCCCATTAAAAAAAATTGAGATTTTGGGGTTTTTTTTCCCCCATCATTTTCTGGAATAAAAAAGATTCTCCAATTCCCAGGAGCAGCAGGGATGTGGGGTTTTTCCCCCCAATTTAAAATTTCCCAAAACCTCCCAGTTCCAACCCAAAATCTGCCCTGACCGGGAATCCACGGCGAAGGCGTCGGGCGGCCCCAAAACCCCGGGGTTCATCCTCAGCCCCTTGGCTGCAAAATCAACGGGGATTGGTCAAAAAGAGAGAAATGCACAGAAAAAAGGGAAAAAAAAGGGAAATTTGGGGGGAAAAATAGGGGGAATTTATGGGGGAAAAAAGGGGAATTTATGGGGAAAAAAGGGAAATTTATGGGGGAAAAAAAGGGGAATTTATGGGGGAAAAAAGGGAAATTTATGGGGGGAAAAAAAGGGAAATTTATGGGGGAAAAAAGGGGAATTTATGGGGAAAAAGGGGGAATTTTGGGGGGAAAAAAGGGAAAGTTCAGGGGAAAAAAAGGGAAATTTATGGGGGAAAAGGGAAATTTATGGGGAAAAAAGGGGGAATTTATGGGGGAAAAAAGGGGGAATTTATGGGGGAAAAAAGGGAAATTTGGGGGGGAAAAAAGGGAAATTTATGGGGGAAAAAAGGGAAATTTGGGGGGAAAAAAGGGGAAATTTATGGGGGAAAAAAGGGAAATTTATGGGGGAAAAAAGGGAAATTTATGGGGGAAAAAAGGGGGAATTTATGGGGGGAAAAAAGGGGGAATTTATGGGGGAAAAAGGGGGAATTTATGGGGGAAAAAAGGGGGAATTTATGGGGAAAAAGGGGAATTTATGGGGGAAAAAAGGGAAATTTCTGGGGGAAAAGGGAAAGTTCTGGGAATAAAAAAATGGAATTTCTGGGAATAAAAAGGGAAATTTCTGGGAAAAAAGGGGAATTTCTGATGAAAAAAAAGGGAAATTTCTGGGAATAAAAAAAGGGAAATTTTTGGAATAAAAAGGGAAATTTTTGTGAATAAAAAGGGAAATTTTTGGAATAAAAAGGGGAATTTTTGGAATAAAAAGGGAAATTTTTTGGAATAAAAAGGAAATTTCTAGGAATAAAAAAAGGGAAATTTTTGGGAATAAAAAAGGGAAATTTCCGGGGAAAAAAGGGGAAATTTCTGGGGGAAAAAAAAAAGGAAATTTCTGGGAATAAAAAAAGGGAAATTTCTGGGGTAAAAAAGGGGAAATTTTTGGAATAAAAAGGGAAATTTCTGGGGAATAAAAAGGGAAATTTCTGGGGTAAAAAAGGGGAAATTTCTGGAATAAAAAGGGAAATTTCTGGGAATAAAAAAGGGAATTTCTGGGAATAAAAAGGGAAATTTCTGGGGAATAAAAAGGGAAATTTCTGGAATAAAAAGGGAAATTTCTGGGGTAAAAAAAGGGAAATTTTTGGAATAGAAAGGGAAATTTCTGGGAATAAAAAGGGAAATTTCTGGGGTAAAAAAGGGGAAATTTTTGGAATAGAAAGGGAAATTTATGGGAATAAAAAGGGAATTTCTGGGGAAAAAAAGGGAATTTTGTGCGACTCACCGGGCAGGCCGGGCGTGGGCAGGAGGCTCTGCAGGTTCAGGTAGGGATTGAGGGGGATCCTCAAATCTTTGGGGGGCTCCCCCAGGAGAGAGACCTGGGCAGGGAAATTGGGGGGCTCAGGGGGGTCCTGGGGGAATTTGGGGGGTCCTGGGGGGTTTGGGGATCCCAAAGAGGTTCAGGGGGTCCTGGGGGGATCCCAAAGAGGTTCAGGGGGTCCTGGGGGGTCCCAAAGAGGTTCAGGGGGGTTTTTGGGGGGTTTGGGGGATCCCAAAGAGGTTCAGGGGGTCCTGGGGGGTTTTTGGGGGGATCCTGGGGAATTTGGGGATTCTTGGGGGCATCTGGAGGCTCCGGAAGCTCCCAGAATTTGGGGGTCCCACCCTGGATTTTTTGGGGGTCCCATCCCCGGGATTTTGGGGGGGTCCCACCCTGGATTTTTTAGGGGCCCCAACCCTGGAATTTTGGGGGTCCCAACCCTGGAATTTGGGGGCCTAACCCTGGAATTTTGGGGGTCCAAACCTGGAATTTTGGGGGTCCCACCCTAGAATTTGGGGGGAAGTCCACCCTATTGTTATTGGAGGTCCCATCCCGGATTTTTTGGGGGTCCCAACCCTGGAATTTTGGGGGTCCCAGTGCAGATTTTGGGGGTCCCACCCTGGGATTTTGGGGGTCCCAGTGCAGATTTTGGGGGGTCCCACCGCAGATTTTGGGGGGTCCCATGCAGATTTTGGGGGGTCCCATGCAGGTTTTGTGGGGGGGTCCCACCGCAGATTTTGGGGGGTCCCAGTGCAGATTTTGGGGGTCCCATGCAGATTTTGGGGGTCCCAGTGCAGGTTTTTGGGGGTCCCATGCAGATTTTGGGGGTCCCATGCAGATTTTGGGGGTCCCAACCCTGGAATTTTGGGGGGTCCCAACCCTGGGATTTTGGGTCTGGGGGCTGCTCACCGTGGGGGCGGGGGCTCCGCTCTCTCCCTGCTGGGCTTTGGGGCGGGGCTTGGGGAGGGGCTTGGGGAGGGGCTTTTGGGGAGGGGCTTGGGGAGGGGTCCCAGCCCCGGGGGGGTCCCCGGGCGTCCCAGCGCCGCCTCCGGGGCCAAGAACGGAGCCAGGACCGGGGACTTCCCACGGGGCTGGGCCCCATCCCCGGGAACACCTGGAAAAAATGGGGGAAAAAAGGGGAAAAAGAACGGGGGAAAGGGAAGGGGGGGAAAAAGGGGGAAAAGGGGGGAAAGGGGGGAAAAGGGGGGAAAAGGGGGGAAAAGGGGGAAAAAGGGGAGAAAAAAGGGGGGAAAAAAGGGGGGGAAAAAGGGGGAAAAGGGGAAAAGGAGGAAAAAAGGGGGAAAGAAAGGGGGGAAAAAGGTGGGAGAGGGCTCAGAGCCAGCCTGGCAGCTGGGGGACCACCAGAATCCCCCTTTTTCCACCCAAATTTCTCCTTTTCCCCACCCAATCTTCCTCCTTTTTCCCAACCCAAATTCCTCCCTTTCCCACCCAAATCCCCCTTTTCCCCACCCAAATCTGAGGTTTCCACCCCAAATCTGAGGTTTCCCACCCCAAATCCCCCTTTTCCCCACCCAAATCCCCCTTTCCCCTCCCCAAATCTCCCTTTTCCCACCCAAATCTGAGGTTTCCCACCCAAATCCCCTTTTTCCCACCCAAATTTCGCTTTTCCCACCCAAATCTGAGGTTTCCCACCCAAATTTCCATTTTCCCGACCCAAATCCCCCTTTTTCCCACCCAAATTTCCCTTTTCCCACCCAAATTTCCCTTTTCCCCCCCAAATCCCCCCTTTTCCCCACCCAAATTCCCCTTTTCCCACCCAAATTCTCCTTTTCCCACCCAAATCCCCCCTTTTCCCACCCCCAATTCCCCTTTCCCCACCCAAATCCCCCTTTTCCCACCCAAATTTCTATTTTCCAACCCCAAATTCCCCTTTTCCCCACCCAAATTCCCCTTTCCCACCCCAAATTTCGCTTTTCCCACCCAAATCCCCCTTTTCCCCACCCCAAATCCCCCTTTTCCCCCCCCAAATCCCCTTTTCCCACCCAAATCTGAGGTTTCCCACCCAAATTCCCCTTTTCCCACCCAAATCTCCCTTTTCCCACCCAAATCCCCCTTTTCCCCCCCCAATTCCCCCTTTTCCCACCCAAATCTGAGGTTTCCCACCCAAATCCCCCTTTTCCCCACCCAAATCCTGCTTTTCCCACCCAAATCCCCCTTTTCCCACCCAAATCTGAGGTTTCCCACCCAAATTCCCCTTTCCCCTCCCCAAATCCCCCTTTTCCCACCCAAATCCCCCTTTTCCCACCCCAAATCCCCCTTTCCCCTCCCCAAATCCCCCTTTTCCCACCCAAATCCCCCTTTTCCCCCCCCAAATCCCCCCCTTTTTCCCCCCATTTTTTTGGGGCTCCAGGTTGCTCCGTTCCGGGTTTACCTGAGGGAATCTCCCCCAGGAGCTTCCCCGGGGGCTGGGCCAGGGAGCTCAGCGGGGAATCGCCCAAAATTCCCGGTTTCTGAAGGGAAAAAAGGGGGGAAAACGCCTTGGAAAGGGAGATTATCCCAAAAAAAAAAACCCCATGGAAATGGATTATCCACGAAAAAACCCATGGAGACCCCGGCCCCCCGCATGGAAAGAGCGAAATTCCAGGGGAAAAAGCTGGGAAAACGGCAAAATTCCAAGGGAAAACGGGAAAATTCCAAGGGAAAACCAGGAAAATTCCAGAGGAAAACCAGGAAAATTCCGGGGGAAAACCAGGAAAATTCCGGGGGAAAACCAGGAAAATACCAAGGGAAAATGGCAAAATTCAAGGGAAAATGGGAAAATTCCAGGGAAAACCAGGAAAATTCCAAGGGAAAATGGCAAAATTCCAGGGGAAAACAGGAAAATTCCAGGGGAAAACCAGGAAAATTCGAAGGGAAAACCGGGAAAATTCCAAGGGAAAAGCAGGAAAATTACAAGGGAAAACCACAGGAAAATTCTGAGGGAAAACAGGGAAATTCCAAGGGAAAAAACAGGAAAATTCCAGGGAAAACGGGAAAATTCCAGGGGAAAACAGGAAAATTCCAGGAAAACCAGGAAAATTCCAGGGGAAAACAGGGAAATTCAAGGGAAAATGGGAAAATTCCATGGAAAACGGGAAAATTCCATGAGAAAATCGGGAATCTGGGCCTACCTGTGCCGGGCCGTGCAGAGCCAGCTGGAGCAGAGCCGTGGAGAGCGCGGGGTTGGGCACCAGGGGAAGGGAGGGAGCGGCTCCCAGAATTCCTGCTGGGAACAGGGGCAGGAATGGCACAGAAATTCCCCAAAACTGCTCTGGTTTTTGCCCCAAAATTGCCATTTTTTTTTACCCCAAAATTGCTGTTTTTATTGCCCCAAAATTGCCGTTTTTATTGCCCCGAAATTGCCTTTTTTTTTCCCCGGAATTGCCGTTTTTTGCCCCGAAATTAGCGTTTTTTTGCCCTGAAATTGCCACTTTTTTCCCCAAAATTGCCATTTTTTTCCCTGAAATTGCTGGTTTTTCCCCCAAAATTGCCAGGTTTTTCCCCCAAAATTTCCGGGTTTTGCCCCGAAATTGCCTTTTTTTTTTACCCCAAAATTGCCGGGTTTTTTTCCCCATAACTGCCGTTTTTTTCCCCGAAATTGCCGGTTTTTTGCCCCAAAATTGCCGGGTTTTTTCCCCAGAACTGCCTTTTTTTTTCCCCCCAAAATTGCCATTTTTGCCCCCAAAATTGATGTTTTTTCCCCCGAAACTGCCATTTTTTTCCCCCAAATTACCGTTTTTTTGCCCCAAAATTGCCATTTTTTTCCCCAAAATCGCCGTTTTTTTTCCCCAAAATCGCCGGGTTTTTTCCCCAAAATCGCCGTTTTTGCCCGAAATCTCCGTTTTTCCCCCCAAATGGCCGCCGTACCCTGCTTGGCGGGCAGCGCCCCCCGGAGCAGGGGGCTGAGCAGCAGCTGCAGCGAGGCCGGGTTGCCCAGGCTGCCCAGGATCTGCAGCAGGGACGGCTCGGGCAGCAGCCCCTTGCCACGGTTCAGGGCCTGGAAAAGGGGGAAATGGGGGAATTAGGGGGAAAAGGGGGGGATTGGGGTGTGTGGGGATTGGGGTTTGGGGTTTGGGATGGGGGGTTTGGGATTGGGGTTTGGGATTTGGTATTTGGGGTTTGGGGTTTCTGATCCCAGAAAGATTGTGGTGATCCAGCTCTCAGCATGAGCTCCAGTGCCAAAAAATCTCACGGCAAGGGAGGGAGGAAGAACAGGAGGATGAGGATGAGGATGGGGACAAAGATAATGATGAGGATGAAGGGCTGAGGACGTGGATGAAGAGAACAAAGAGGATGAGGATGAGGATAACAATGAGGATGAAGATAAGGGTAAGGTTATGGCTGATGATAACAGCGAGGATGAGGAGCAGTAGAGTGAGGATGAGGATGAGGAGCAGGATGAGGGCGAGGCCGCAGCGAGGATGAGGAGCAGGAGGAGGGTGAGGATGAGGAGCAGGGTGAGGATGAGGAGCAGGAGGAGGATGAAGATAAGGATAAGGTTATGGCTGACGATAACAGTGAGGATGAGGATGAGGAGCAGGAGGAGGGCGAGCCGCAGCCGAGGATGAGGATGAAGGTAAGGGTAACGTTACGGCTGAAGATAACAATGAGGATGAGGAGCAGGAGGAGGATGAAGATAAGGGTAAGGTTATGGCTGATGATAACAGTGAGGATGAGGAGCAGGAGGAGGATGAAGATAAGGATAAGGTTATGGCTGATGATAACAGTGAGGATGAGGAGCGAGGAGGAGGGCGAGGCCGCAGCGAGGATGAGGATGAGGAGCAGGAGGAGGGTGAGGAGCAGGAGGAGGGCGAGGCTGACAGCGAGGATGAAGATAAGGGTAAGGTTATGGCTGACGATAACAGTGAGGATGAGGAGCAGTAGAGTGAGGATGAGGATGAGGAGCAGGATGAGGGCGAGGATGAGGATGAGGAGCAGGATGAGGGCGAGGCCGCAGCGAGGATGAGGATGAAGATAAGGATAAGGTTATGGCTGACGATAACAATGAGGATGAGGATGAGGATGAGGAGCAGGATGAGGGCGAGGATGAGGATGAGGCTGCTGAGGAAGGCTCACCGTGGCCTGCGCGGCGATCAGCGCGGCCAGCATGCTGCGGCCCGAGGGCCCCGGGGCGCAGAAGGACACACGGACGCGCTGCCCGGACAGAGGGAACCCGTCCGTGGCCTCCTGGGCTCGCTCGGCCGCCTCGGGGGACTCGAACTCCAGCACTGCGAAACCCTTGGGCTGCCCGTCCTGCCCGATGGCCAGCTGGGGACAGACGGACGGACAGGGGACAGATGGGGACGGACAGACAGACAGACAGGGGGACAATGGGACAGACAGGGGGACAGGGAGGGGACAAATGGTGGAAATCCCGCCCAGAACTCCAAATCCACCCTGAATCTCTGGATGTCGCCCGTGTTCCCAAACACCTCAGCCCCAAATCCTCTCCTCAGCCCCAAATCCATCCCAGGTACCCAAACCCCTTCCTTCTCCCTAAACCCACCCTAATCCCTTCCTCACCCCAAATCCCTCGGGGCTCACTAAATTCCTTCTTTATCCCCAAAGCCCAGACCCCTCTGTGACCCCAAACCCCAAACCCCAAACCCCACCTGGCAGAAGGAGGCTCGCACACCCTCTGGAACACAGCCCTGAGCCCCAGGGCAGCCTGTGCCCATCCAAACCCCCCAAAACCTCAAACCTCAAACCCCACCTGGCAGGAGGAGGGTCCCAGACCCTTTGGAACACAGCCCTGAGCCCCGGGGCAGCCTGTGCCCATCCCAAACCCCCAAACCCCCCAAATCTCAAACCCCAAACCCCACCTGGCAGAAGGAGGGCTCGCAGACCCTCTGGAACACGGCCCTGAGCGCCTGCAGGTCGCTGAAGCCCCGGGGCAGCCTGTGCCCATCCCAAACCCCCCAAAACCCCCCAAACCCCCCCAAACCCTGAACCCCAAACCCCACCTGGCAGAAGGAGGCTCGCACACCCTCTGGATCACAGCCCTGAGCCCCGGGGCAGCCTGTGCCCATCCCAACCCCCCAAATCTCAAACCCCAAACCCCACCTGGCAGAAGGAGGGCTCGCACACCCTCTGGAACACGGCCCTGAGCGCCTGCAGGTCGCTGAAGCCCAGGGCCGCCTGTGCCCATCCAAACCCCCCAAACCCCAAATCTCAAACCCCACCTGGCAGAATGAGGGCTCGCAGACCCTCTGGATCACAGCCCTGAGCCCAGGGGCAGCCTGTGCCCATCCCAAACCCCCCAAATCTCAAATCCCAAACCCCACCTGGCAGAAGGAGGGCTCGCAGACCCTCTGGAACACGGCCCTGAGCCCCTGCAGGTCGCTGAAGCCCCGGGGCAGCCTGTCCACGCAGAGGCAGCGCGAGTGCAGCAGCTCGGGGCTCAGCTGCGCGCGCTCCACCCAGTGCACGTGCAGCTCCGGCTGCCCAGCTGCTTCCCCAGCAGCTCCGAGCGCGCCCGGCCGCCGAGTCCTTCTTCATGAACTCCACGAAGCCGTAGCCCTTGGAGTGGCCCGTGGCGGGGCTGTAGACCAGGAAGCAGCGCTCCAGGCTGCCGAAGGGCCGCAGCAGCTCCTCGAACTGCGGCTGCGTCAGCAGGCGGGGCAGGTTGGCCACGCACAGCACGGCCTCGTGGGCTGCAGCTGCACCCGCAGCGGGCGCTGCCGCAGGGAGCGGCCGTGGAAGCGCCCAACCGCCGAGGCCGCCTGCTCGGCCGTGAGCAGCGTGACGAAGGCTGGGAGAGAGGAACGGGCTGGAAATGGGCTGGGATGGGGGAGGAATGGGGGAGAAATGGGGCTGGGAATGGGACTGGGAACGGGGGGAAATGGGGCTGGAATGGGGGAGGAATGGGGTTGGGAATGGGGCTGGGAATGGGGGAGAAATGGGGCTGGGAATGGGGCTGGGAATGGGAGTGGGAATGGGGCTGGGAACGGGGGAAATGGGGCTGGGAATGGGGGAGGAATGGGGTTGGGAATGGGGGAGGAATGAGGGGAAATGGGGCTGGGAATGGGGCTGGAATGGAGGAGGAATGGGGCTGGGAATGGGGCTGGGAATGGGACTGGGAATGGGGGGAAATGGGGCTGGGGATGGGGCTGGAATGGGCTGGGAATGGGGGAGGAATGGGGCTGGGAATGGAGGAGGAATGGGGCTGGGAATGGGGGAGAAATGGGGCTGGGAATGGGGCTGGGAATGGGGGGAGACAGGGGAGAAATGGGGCTGGGAATGGGGGGGAATGGGGCTGGGAATGGGGAAATGAGGGAGAAATGGGGCTGGGAATGGGGCTGGGAATGGGGAGAAATGGGCTGGGAATGGGGGAGAAATGGGGGAGGAAAAGGGCTGGGAATGGAGGAGAAATGGGGCTGGGAATGGGGCTGGGAATGGGGGGAAATGAGGGAGAAATAGGGCTGGGAATGGGGGAGAAATGGGGCTGGGAATGCGGGAGGAATGGGGTTGGGAATGGGGGAGAAACAGGGGAGAAATGGGGCCAGGAATAGGGGGAAATGGGGTTGGGAATGGGGGAGAAATGGGGCTAGGAATGGGGTTGGGAATGGGGAGGGTTAATGGAGAAACGGGGTTGGGAATGGGGTTGGGAACAGGGGGGAACTGGGGTAAAAATAGGGCTGGGAATGGGAAAGGTTAATGGAAAAATGGGGTTCGGGAGCGGGGGGGATTCCTCCAAAAACTGGGTTTGGAAAAGGGAAGGACCAATAAAAAACCAGCTCTGAGAATGGGGAGGGATCCCTGGAGAGATGGGCTTTGGGAAAGGGAAGGAATTCCTGGAAAAAGGGGGGCTTGGAATGGAAAAGCATCCCCGGGTGGGAACAGGGAAAGTGTCCCAGGCTGTTCCCTCTTCCATGATTTCCCAGGGATCCGGGCTGCTCCCCAAACCCCAGAGCTGCTCCCCAAACCCCAGAGCTGCTCCTCACCCGTTCCCTTGTACTTGTCCACAAAGCAATACTTGAGCTCGTAGTCCTTCAGCAGCTCGTGGATATCCTGGAGAAAAACCCGGGAATTTCCATGGAAAAGAGAGCGGGGCTCACAGGGAAGAAAGACCCTTCCTTTTCCCAAACCCCGTTTTTCCTAGGATTTTCCAAACCCCATTTTTCTAGGGATTTTCCCTTTTCCCAAGCCCCCTTTTCCCCAGTGATCCTCCCCTTTCCCACCCTCCCTTTTTGAGGAATCCCGGCCCTCCCGAATTCCCGGGAATTTCCCTGCGCTGCCTCAGGCTCCTCGCGGTGTCCCCAGTTTGACGTTCCAGGCTTTATCCCAGGGTTTGCTCCCTCCAGACACCCCAGGAAGCTCCGGCTGCTCCTCCTCTTCCTCCCGGACCGGCTCCTCCGGCTCCCGCCTTTGCCCTTCCCCAGTTAATTCCCAACCTTCGGCCTCGGGGCGAGGATTTCACCCTGGGACCGGCACCGGCAAGGGAAAAACGCACCCGGGGGCGCTGCGGAATTCCAGGCGGATTTTTGGGGATTCCGGATTTTGGAGGGAAAAAAATCCGGGATTTGGAGGCAGAGCAGGGAAAGGTTCGGGAGGAAGGCGAGATCCAGGGTGGATTTGGGGCTCTGGTCCCGGTTCTCCGCTCAGCGCCCGCATTCCCGTTCCTCCTCCCGGTTTCCCCCCTTCCCCTCACCCCCGTTCCCGGTTCGTGGTCCCCCCTCACCTGGTTGGTCACATCCGCCGGTAAGCCGCGGATCAGCACCTTCCGCCGGTTGCGGAACTGCCGCTCGCTGTGCTCCAGGCGGCTCCGCACCTCGGCCGGGTCCAGCGGCGGCAGCTCCTCCTCGGGGGCCAGGCCGGGCCCCGCCGGTGGCTCCGCTCCGGGCCCGGGCCCGGCCCCGCTCACCGACAGCGCCGCCGCCATCTTGGCCCCGCCACCGCCCGCCACGCCAACAACGCGCCCTTCTCATTGGAGGAGGGGCCGGCCACGAGTATCCGCGGCTGGGATTGGGCGGCGCGGAAAAATACTGCGGATGAGCCGGCGGCTGCTATTGGGTGAGAGGGAGGGCTCGTTGTCTCCGCGGCTGGGATTGGGCGGCAGCGGGCGAGCCCCAAGATCGCGGATTCCTATTGGTTGGTTCCCTTGAACCGTTGAACACTCCAAAACATCCCAAATAGAGATCAAAAAAACCCAAATAAATACCCAAAAATAACCCAAATAAATACCTAAAAATAACCCAAATAAATACCCAAAAGTAACCCAAATTGAGATCCCAAAATAACCCAAATGGAGGCCCCAAAACAGCCCCATAGAGACCTCAAAAAACCCCAAATAGACCCCAAAATAACCCCAAAAAATACCCCAAAATAACCCAAATAGAGACCCCAAAAAACCCCAAATAGACCCCAAAATAACCCCCAAAAATACCCAAACATAACACAAATAAAAGACCCCCAAAAAACCCAGATAGAGACCACAAACACGGAGCCTTTTCCATCCTTTATTCAGGGACCCTTTGGATCCCCCAAAATCCCAGCGATTCCCCCCAAATCCCAAACCCCCGCCCCAAATTCCAGGGGATTTCCCCCAATTCCCCCCCAGCTCCTGGGGGGAGGGCACAGCAGGCAATAAATAAGGGAAATTTTGGGAATTCCCCAAAATCCCAATAAAGTGCCAGGTTTGGTTTGGTTTTTTTTTTTTTCATGGAATTCCCATTTTTGGGGTTTTTTTTTTGGGAAAAGGCCCCAAATCCTGGGGGGCAGGAAGGAGATCCAGCCCCTCCCACCCCCCACAAATGACCCCAGCCCCAAACTGGGGGGAGAGGATGGGGCTGGGAATAAGGCAACAATTCCAGAAATGCACAAATCCCCCCTTTTCAACCCAAAACCTCCGGCCCCAGAGCTCCTTCACAGTGTTCGGTGGGAGGGGGGGAAAAATCAGGAATTTTGGAGGGGCTGGGCCTGGAATTGGGGGTCCCCCCTCTTCCCATGGAAATTTGGGGTTTTTTTCCTTCCATTTCCTGATTTTTTGGGGTTTTTTTTTTCCCATTTCATGGACTTTTTTGGGGTTTTTTCCCCCCTTCCATGAAATTTTTTGGGGTTTTTTTTCCCCCATTCCATAGATTTTTTTGGGGGTTTTTTCCCCCGTTCCATGAAATTTTTTTGGGGGGTTTTTCCCCATCTTCCATGGAATTTCTTTTTTGGGTTCTTTACCCCTTCCATGATTTTTTTTTTGGAGTTTTTTCTCCCCCCTTCCATGGAATTTTTTTGGGGATTAGCCCCCCCCCCCCACATTCCAGGGGATTTTTTGGGGCTTTCTTCCCATCTATGGGATTTTTTTGGGTTTCTCCCCTCCCCATTCCATGGATTTTTTAGGGTTTTTTTCCCCCCTATTCTATGGGAATTTTTGAGGATTTCTCCCCCCCATCTCATAGGATTTTCTGGGTGTTTCCCCCCCTCATCCCATGGGATTTTTTTGGGGATTTTTCTCCCCCTATCCCATGGGATTTTTTGGGGGGTTTCTCCCCTCCAACCCCACAGGATTTTGGGGTCCCCCCTCAGCAGAGGTTGAAGACAGAGGGGGCCTGAGCCCGGTATTTCTCCTGGAAGCTCCTCAGGATGGGCACGAGGTTGGGGAAGGCCGGGCGGAACGAGGCCTCGGCCTCCAGCAGTTCTTCATCAGCCGGTAAACCTGGGGGCAGAACGGGGAAATCCTAGGAAAACCTCCCCAAAATCCCGGGAAAACCTCCCCCAAAATCCCAGGAAAACCTCCCTGGAAATCCCGGGTAAACCTCCCCCAAAAATCCCAGGAAAATCTCCCCAAAATCCCAGGAAAATCTCCCCAAAATCCCAGGAAAACCTCCCCAAAATCCCAGAAACCTCCCCCAAAATCCCGGGAAAACCTCCCCCAAAATCCCGGGAAAACCTCCCAAAATCCCAGGAAAACCTCCCCAAAATCCCGGGAAAAACTCCCCAGAAATCCCGGGAAAACCTCCCCAAAATCCAGGAAAACCTCCCCCAAAATCCCGGGAAAACCTCCCCCAAAATCCCAGGTAAACCTCCCCAAAATCCCGGGAAAACCTCCCAAAATCCCAGGTAAACTCCCCCAAAATCCCGGGAAAACCTCCCCAAAATCCCAGGAAAACCTCCACCAAAATCCCGGGAAAAACCTCCCCAAAATCCCAGGAAAACCTCTCCAAAATCCCGGGTAAACCTCTCCAAAATCCTGGCAAAACCTCCCCAGAAATCCCAGATTTCGCTCCTCCTCTTTCCTGTTTTCCTCCTTCTCTCCACGTTTTTTCCCCCCTTTCTTCCCCATTTTCCTTCCCCATTTTTCCTCCTCCTCCTCCCACGTTTTCCTTCCTCCTTTTTTCCTCCTCTTCCCCACTTTTCCTCCTTCTCTCCCCTTCCCCTTTTCCCTTCTCCCTTCCCATTTTCCCCTTCTCCCCTCCCCATTTCCTCCCCCCTTTTCTCCTCCCTGTCTCCCTTTTCCTCCTTCCATCCATTTTTCCCCATTTCCTCCCATTTCCCACCTCGCAGGGACAATCCCTGGGCATGGGGAGCCTCTTCCCCCTCTCCAGGAGCTCAATCAGCCTCAGCACCGTCATCTGCCCCTGCGTGGCCCCGATCATCTCCAGGAATTTCTGTGAGGGAACAGAAAAAAAAAAAATTTAAAAAAAATGGGGGAAAAGCCCCAATTCCAACCCCAAAACCCCCAAATTGCCCCGGGACTCACGGTCCGGGGGGCTGCTCCCGGGGTCACAGCGCGTCAGGAGCTCGTAGAGGGTCACCCCAAAGGACCACACGTCCGAGGCGTAGTAGAACTTGCACTCCTTGAGGCACTCCGGGGCGTACCTGCAATCACCGGGGTCACGGCTCCGGGGATTCGGGGTCCGGCAGCGCTGCCGGGAGGCTCCCAAAGCCCCGAAGCCCTCACCAGAACACGGGGCTGTCGCCGTCCTCCCGCACCCTGTAGTAGTCGTGGCCCTCGGGGACGGCCTTGGCCAGCCCGAAATCCCCGATTTTCACCACGTGCTCGTTCTCCAGCAGCACGTTCCTGGCGGCCAGGTCCCGGTGGATGTAGTGCAGGGAGTGCAGGTAGGCCATGCCCTGGAAAACGGGGAAAAAAAAACCAAATTGTGGCTGGATTTGGGAAGGCCGGAAGAGGTTTTGGGGGGTTTGAGGCGTTTCTGGGGGAGTTGTGAGGTGGTTTTTGGGAATCGCCCCCATTTCTGGGAATTAATCCCCATTTGAGGGTTGGCACTCCTGTGTTTCCCCATTTTTGGCGAGGAATTCAATGCCATTTTTTGGAGTTCAGCCTCACTTTGAGTGTCAGCCCCATTTTTCAGGGGGTCAGCCCCATTTTTGGGAATTCAGCCCCACTTCCAAAGGGTCCACCCCCATTTTTTGGGAATTCAGCCCCACTTCCAAAGGGTCCACCCCCATATTTTGGGAATTCAGCCCCACTTCCAAAGGGGTCTCACCCCATTTTTTGGGGATCACCCCCATATTTTGGGAATTCAGCCCCACTTCCAAAGGGTCTCGCCCCCTTTTTTTGCAATCCTGCCGCATTTTGGGGCTGTAACCCCCATTTCTGAGTCATCCAACCCCGTTTTTTTGGGGGAATGGTCCCTTTTTGTTGGGACCCAGCCCATTCCAGGCTCACCTCGCAGATCTGCTGGGCGAAGAGCAGGAGGTGGGACAGGCTCAGGGGGTGCTTGGGCAGGAATTCCCGGAGGCTTCCCAGCGGGACGTACTCCATGATCAGCTGCACCACCTTGTCCCCTGCAACGCACAGGCGGGGAACGTGGGGACCACCCCGAGAGCCCCCAGATTCCTGCCAGGACATCGATTCCTGGCCAAGAAAACTCGGGTTTTTTAAGCTCTGATCCACTGGGAAAACCCCCGTGGTTTTCTCCCTCACCCTGCTCGCTGCAGCAGCCCTTGTACTTGACGATGTTCTCGTGGTACAGCGTCTTCAGGATCTGGATCTCCCTCTTCCAGGAGCTCAGGAGCTGCGGGCTGCTCCCAGATTTCAGGGATTTCACGGCCACCATCTCGCCGGTGCCGTCGTTGGTGGGGTCGTAGCAGCACAGGCTCACCTTCCAAAGTGGCCCTGGAGAAGGACGAACTTTTGGGATTTGGGCGGGGAAAGGAGGGTTTGGAGCTTCCCTGCGCTGGGAGGATGCAGATGGGGTCGACAAAGTTCAGAAATGGAGGGGCAAAATCAGCAGGGGATATAGGTTAAAATGCGAAAACAAGGATTGAAACGTGGGATTTCGGATCCAGACAGGGAAAGGAGCTGGCCCAGCTTCCCAGAATTGCAGAGCTCAGGACGCCACTGACCTCAGCCCAGCTCCCGGATTTTCTTCAGGTACCGCTTCTGGAAGACGGTGGGATCCGACACCGGGAAGTCGGGATTCACCGACGTGACATCCACGAGGTCTGCGAGGGACCTTGGTTTTCCTTTCTATCCTTTTCCTCCCTTTCCCCACAGAATCCCGGGATTTTCCTTTTCCGCCCCTCACGGAGCGGCTGCAGCCGGGTCAGGTCTCCCCCGCCCCCTTTCCCCACAGAATCCTGGGATTTCCCCCATTCCCCGATCCAGGACCTTCATCCCCGTTCTCCCTGGGATTTTTCCCCATTCCTCCCGGGATTTTTCTCCATTAACCCAGGATTTTTCCCTGTTCCCGCCCCTCACGGTGCGGCTGCAGCCGGGTCAGCTCCCTCACGCCACTTTTCCCCACAGAATCCCGGGATTTCCCCCTTTCCCGCCCCTCACGGAGCGGCTGCAGCTGGGTGAGGTCCCTCACGCCCCTTTCCCGGACCCAGGACCCTCATCCCCGTTTCCCCAGGATTTTTCCCCATTTCCCGCCTTTCCCGCCCCTCACGGAGCGGCTGCAGCTGGGTGAGCTCCTCACGCCCCTTTCCCGGATCCAGGAGCCTCATCCCCGTTCCCCAGGATTTTTCCCCATTTCCCGCCTTTCCCGCCCCTCACGGTGCGGGCTGCAGCCGGGTGAGCTCCCTCACGCCACTTTTCCCCACAGAATCCCGCAATTTTCCCCCGTTCCCCCGGGATTTCCCCCTTTTCCCGCCCCTCACGGTGCGGCTGCATCCCGGTCAGCTCCCTCACGCCACTTTTCCCCACAGAATCACGGGATTTCCCCCCTTTCCGTCCCTCACGGAGCGGCTGCAGCTGGGTGAGGTCCCTCACGCCCCTTTCCCGGACCCAGGACCCTCATCCCCGTTTCCCCAGGATTTTTCCCCATTTCCCGCCTTTCCCGCCCCTCACGGAGCGGCTGCAGCTGGGTGAGCTCCCTCACGCCCCTTTCCTGGATCCAGGAGCCTCATCCCCGTTTCCCCAGGATTTTTCCCCATTTCCCGCCTTTCCCGCCCCTCACGGTGCGGGCTGCAGCCGGGTGAGCTCCCTCACGCCACTTTTCCCCACAGAATCCCGCAATTTTCCCCCGTTCCCCCGGGATTTCCCCTTTTCCCGCCCCTCACGGTGCGGCTGCAGCCGGGTGAGTTCCCTCACGCCCCTTTCCCGGACCCAGGACCCTCATCCCCGTTTCCCCAGGATTTTTCCCCGGGATTTTCCTTTTCTCGCCCCTCACGGAGCGGCTGCAGCCGGGGTGAGCTCCCTCACGCCCCTTTCCCGGACCCAGGACCCTCATCCCCGTTTCTCCCGGGGTTTTTTCCCCATTCCCCCGGTATTTTTTCCCCTTTCCCGCCCCTCACGGTGCGGCTGCAGCCGGGTCAGCTCCCTCACGCCACTTTTCCCCACAGAATCCCGGATTTTCCCCCGTTTCCCCCGGGATTTCCCGCCTTTCCCGCCCCTCACGGAGCGGCTGCAGCCGGGTCAGCTCCCTCACGCCCCTTTCCCCGGATCCAGGACCCAAACCCCCGTTTCCCCCGGGATTTTTTCCCCATTCCTCCGGGATTTCCCCCCTTTCCCGCCCCTCACGGTGCGGCTGCAGCTGGGTCAGCTCCCTCACGCCACTTTTCCCCACAGAATCCCGGGATTTTCTCTCGTTCCCCCGGGATTTCCCGCCTCTCCCGCCCATCACGGAGCGGCTGCAGCCGGGTGAGCTCCCTCACGCCCCTTTCCCGGACCCAGGCCCCTCATCCCCCGTTTCTCCCGGGGCTTTTTCCCCATTCCCCCGGGATTTTTTCCCCTTTCCCGCCCCTCACGGTGCGGCTGCAGCCGGGTCAGCTCCCTCAGCACGGTGCGGAAGGACGGCCGCTCCACCGGGGTGTAGTTGAGGCACCGGGAGATCAGCGAGGCCAATTCCCGGCACGAAGGCTCCGGCAGCCGGTGCCTCTTCTCGTAGAAACGCTCCTTCTGCGAGAAAAACACAGAAAACCTCCAAACCCGACCCCCAAATCCAGCCCAAACCAGGGAAAACAGCGGGAATCACCTCGGAGGAGTGCGCTCCTTCAGCGGGACGTCGGCATCGAAGCAGATTTCCAGGAGCGTTGTCCCAAAACTCCACTTGTCCGAGGCCGTGCTGAGGCTCCCCACATCCCGGATGCACTCCGGGGCGATCCAGGGAATCCTGTCCACGCGCTCTGAGGGGCACATCCCACCAGGAAAGTATGAAATGTGTGTTTTAATTATTTACTGGGGGTGATGGCATGTCTGGGGTGTTGGTCTGTTATATATGTATACATTTATATATATATATACATATATAAAAATTATATATATATATGTATATATGTAAATATATATGTATATATGTATATATATGTATATATGTAAATACATATATTTTTATATGTATATATTAACATATATATTTATATATATGTAAAACGTGAAAGGTGAAGGGTTGAAATATAAAATACGGAGTGCTAAATATGGGATATCAAAGGTGTAAAATACGGGATATTACGTAGAAAAATACGGGATATTCAAGGCATAAAATGTGGGATGTTAAAAATATAAAATTTGGGATTTTAAAGAGATAAAATATAGGATTTACAAGGGGAGGGTCTGTGGTAAAACGATCCCAGGCACTGTAATGGGTGTGATCATCCCTGACAGCAGCTTGGGACCGAACCAGGTGGAATTCCCATATTAAAATGCCAAATATTGGGAAAATTTGGGTTGGAAAAGTTGGGAATACTCTGCGAAAAGAGCTCTGGCCACAACCTATGGAATTGTTAGGGAAAAGGGGGGAAAAACAATCTGGATTTTGCCCCCAGAAATCCATCCCTGCCCTTGTACCTTCCCGGGAGAGCACGGTGAAGCTGACCCCGGGGTCGCTGAGCTTCACGAAGGGCACGGATCCATCCTCCAGCCCCTTCCTGGCCAGCAGGATGTTCTTGGCACACACATTCCCATGCACCAGGTTCTTATCCTCCTGGGGAAAGCAGAGCAAAAGGGAAAAATCATTGGGAAATAAATAAAAAAAAAAAAAAAGAATCAACGATCCCCAGAAGAGGGGAGAAGGGAGCGAGGACGGGCAGCAGGAAGGGCGGAATGACCGTAAAAATGGGATTATCCCCTGGGAAAAGGGAGGGAAGGTTAGGATTAGGGTTAGGGTTAGGGTTAGGGTTAGGGTTAGCCTTAGGATAAGGATTAGGGTTAGGGTTAGGGTTAGGGTTAGGGTTAGGATTAGGGTTAGGGTTACGGTTAGGGTTAGGGTTAGGGTTAGGGTTAGGGTTTGGGTTAGGGTTAGGGTTAGGGTTAGGGTTAGGTAGGATTAGGGTTAGGGTTAGCCTTAGGATAAGGATTAGGGTTAGGGTTAGGGTTAGTGTTTAGGGTTACGGTTGGGTTTAGGATTAGGGTTAGGGTTAGGGTTAGGGTTAGGATTAGGGTTAGCCTTAGGATAAGGATTAGGGTTAGGGTTTAGGACTAGGGTTAGGGTTAGGGTTAGGGTTACGTTAGGGTTAGGATTAGGGTTAGGGTTAGGATTAGGATAAGGATTAGGGTTAGGATTAGGTTTAGGGTGATCCCATCTGCAGTTACCAGGTAGCTCAGGGCACTGCCCAGCTGTTTGGGTTAGGGTTAGGGTTAGGGTTAGGGTTAGGGTTAGGGTTAGGGTTAGGGTTAGGATCAGGATAAGGATTAGGGTAGGATTAGCATTAGGGTGATCCCATCTGGAGTTACCAGGTAGCTCAGGGCACTGCCCAGCTGTTGGCCACGGTGATTTTCCAGCCCACGGAGATCCGGCCCTTCTCCTTGCGCAAGCAGTACGTCCAGGGGCCCGTGCTCCACGAACTCCTCCACCATGATGTCTGCGGGAAATGCGGGGTGATCCCAGGAAATCCAGGTGATCCCAGGGCAGTGGGGCTGGGAGCGGGGCGGGGAGGGGCTGCCGGGACTCACTCTCGGAGCCGCGCACGCAGACGCCGTGCACGAAGGCCAGGTGCACGTGGGACACCTGCGACATCAGGCTGGCGCTCTCGAAGAACGCCTGCGGGGACAGCGGGGGTGGCAGCGGGGCCCTGGGGCTCCTGAGGGGCCCGGAGCTCCTGGGAGCCCCATCCCAGCCCTTCGGGAGCCAAGTTCCAGAACCAAAAGCCAGGAGGAATTCTGGCCCTCATGGATCCACTTTCCAGCCCTGGGAGCCAAGTTCCAACCCCTGGATCCTTACTCCAGCGCCTGGATTCTTATTCCAGCCCCTGGATCCACTTTCCAGCCCCTGGAGCCAAATCCCAGTCCTTTTGGAGCCAAATTCCAGCCCTCAGATCCACATTCCAACCCTCTGGGCCACGTTCCAGCCCTTTTGGGGTCATATCCCACTCCCCGGATCCCTCTCCCACGCCCTGGATCCCTCTCCCACCCCTTGGATCCCTCTCCCACACCCTGGATCCCTCTCCCACTCCCCAGATCCCTCTCCCACCCCTTGGATCCCTCTCCCACCCCCTGGATCCCTCTCCCACCCCTTGGATCCCTCTCCCACGCCCCGGATCCGTGTTTCCTGCCCCGATCCCGGCGCTCCCAGCCCGGCAGGGCTCACCAGGGCGATGTCCCTGTGGCTGGGGTCCAGCACTTTGAGCACCACGTGCATCTCCCGCCCGTTGTTGTTCTGCTCCGTGCAGAAATACTCGGCCTCGTCGTCGTTCCCGGAGCCCCCGCAGACGCTCAGGACCCCGTCGTAGATGTTGGTCCGGGTGCCCTGGCCCAGGTGGGCTCTCTGGGAAAACAGGGAAAAGCAGGAGCTGTTGGACCCTGGCGAGGCGGGAATCCTCGCCTGGATCCCTCCCTGAATTCCCCCGGCCTCCCGGTGTGGGAGAAAGCCGCTTCCACGGGGATTTTTCCCTCGCTTTCCCTTGGAAAGGGAAGGGATGAAACGGCAAATCCATGCTGCCGGCTGCCCGGGGGCGTGGGAGCATCCTGGGATCTGGAGGGAATCTCTGGGAGGCAGAGAATCCCAGGAATGCAGAGAGGATTCCTCCACCACTCCAGGGATCCCAGGAAGGCAGAGTGGATCCCTCCACCTCCCCAGTGAATCCCAGGAATCCGAGCAGTGAAATTCCCTGGAAAGCAGCACCTGGGTGATCTCGTTCTTGCGGATCTGGTGGAAGCTGAGCTGGGTGAGGTTCAGGATCTGCTTCCCGTTGTCCTTGGCCTTCCGCGTGATCAGCAGGTCTGAGATCTCTGGGGCGGGAGGGAACGGGGCCCCGTGAGCTCCCGGATCCGCCCGCTCCCGATCCCTGGCGTGATCCCTGTCCCCACCTCCTGGCTTGGGCGGGCAGCACCTCCTGACCGTGAAGTTCTCCTCGCCGGATCGGAGGGTGCAGCCCTTGAGCACGTCCAGGAGCTCCCGCAGGGAGGGGAACTCGCGCTCCCAGCCCTCCAGCACGAAGGAGTCTCCCTTCTTCTGGATCCGGAACTGACGGAACTTGAAGGCTCCCGGCGCGCCAGGAGCCTGGAAAAGCCGGGCAGAGGCAGGAGCTGCAGCCACCAAGGCTCCTGGGTCGCTCCAGAGCTCACAATTCCCGGGAATCCCGCGCCGGGAACCGCGTCCCTACCTGCTGGTGGCCCCTCTTGAGCACGGACAGGATCATGCGGTTGAAATCCAGGACGCTCCAGCGGAGGATGTAGAGCCCTTCCTCCGGCTCCTCCCGGCGCAGCTTGGCAAAAACAAACTCCTCCCTGGAAAAGGGACGGGAGAGACGGGTGGGGATGAGCCCCAGGGGTGGGAAATGGATGGGGATGAGCCCCTGAGGAAGGGGAATGGATTGGGATGAGCCCCGAGGAAAGGGAATGGATTGGGATGGGCCTGAAGGACAGGGAATGGATTGGGATGAGCCCTGAGGAAAGGGAATGGATTGGGATGAGCCTAAAGGACAGGGAATGGACTGGGATGAACCCAAAGGACAGGGAATGGATTGGGATGGGCCTAAAGGATGTGGAATGGATTGGGATGAGCCCTGAGGAAAGGGAATGGATTGGGATGCACCCAAAGGACGTGGAATGGACTGGGATGAACCCAAAGGACGTGGAATGGACTGGGATGAGCCCAGAGGACGTGGAATGGATTGGGATGAACCCAAAGGACATGGAATGGATTGGGATGAGCCCCTGAGGAAAGGAAATGGATTGGGATGGACCCAAAGGACGTGGAATGGATTGGGAAGAACCCAAAGCACATGGAATGGATTGGGAAGAACCCAAGGGACATGGAATGGATCGGGAAGAACCCAAAGGACATGGAATGGACTGGGATGAACCCAAAGGACAGGGAATGGATTGGGATGAACCCAAAGGACAGGGAATGGATTGGGATGGACCCAAAGGATGTGGAATGGATTGGGAAGAACCCAAAGCACATGGAATGGATTGGGAAGAACCCAAGGGACATGGAATGGATCGGGAAGAACCCAAAGGACATGGAATGGATCGGGAAGAACCCAAAGGGCATGGAATGGATCGGGAAGAATCCAAAGGACATGGAATGGATTGGGAAGAACCCAAAGGACGTGGAATGGACTGGGATGGACCCAAAGGACATGGAATGGACTGGGATGAACCCAAAGGACATGGAATGGATTGGGATGAACCCAAAGGACGTGGAATGGATTGGGATGCATCCAAAGCAGATGGAACACCCAGGGAGCACCGTGAGGACATGGAGCAGCCCCGGGACGAGCCCTGGGACGCGGGAGAGCCGCAGGGAAGCCGCGCTCACTGCATGGGCCCGTGGATGCCGTTGTGGATGCTCAGGAGCAGCCGCGGCGGGGCCACGTCGTGGCACAGGTAATGGCTGGAGTCGGCTGTCAGGCGGAAATACCCATCCACCAGCGAGACCAGGGCCAGGGCGCTGCTGGGGCAGGGCAGCAGCACCTCCTGGCAGGGACAGAGCACCGGGGTGAGCGGGGAATACACGGGAACCCTGAAAATCCCACGGGAATCCTGAAAATCCCACGGGAACCCTGAAAATCCCACGGAAAACCCTGAAAAATCCCATGGGAAACACTAAAAAATCCCATGGGAAACCCTAAAAAATCCCATGGGAAACCCTAAAAAATCCCATGGGAAACCCTAAAAAATCCCATGGGAAACCCTGAAAAACCCACGGGAAACACTAAAAAATCCCATGGGAAACCCTGAAAAACCCACGGGAAACACTAAAAAACCCACGAGAAACTCTAAAAAACCCATGGGAAACACTAAAAACCCATGGGAAACCCTGAAAAATCCCATGGGAAACACTAAAAAAAAACCCCATGGGAAACCCTAAAAATCCCACAGAAAACCCTAAAAAAATCCTGCAGGAGACCCTAAAAAAAAGCCCTAAAAAACCCATGGGAAACCCTTAAAAACCCATGGGAAACCCTTAAAAATCCCATGGGAAACCCTAAAAAACCCATGGGAAACCCTAAAAAATCCCATGGGAAACCTGCAGGAAACCCGTGGGAAATGGTTTAAAAAAACTCTAAAAAACCCATGGAAAACCCTAAAAAAAAAAAAGCCCTAAAAATCCATGGGAAACCTGTGGGAAATGGTTTAAAAAATTCTAAAAAAACCATGGAAAACCCTAAAAAAACCTGTGGGAAACCCTAAAAAAAAAAGCCCTAAAAATCCCATGGGAAACCTGCAGGAAACCTGTGGGAAACGGTTTAAAAAACTCTAAAAAACCCATGGAAAACCCTAAAAAAAAGCCCTAAAAATTCCATGGGAAACGGTTTAAAAAACTCTAAAAAACCCATGGAAAACCCTAAAAAAAAAAAAGCCCTAAAAATCCCATGGGAAACGGTTTAAAAAACTCTAAAAAACCCATGGAAAACCCTAAAAAAACCTGTGGGAAACCCTAAAAAAAAAGCCCTAAAAATCCCATGGGAAACCTGCAGGAAACCCGTGGGAAATGATTTTAAAAAAACTCTAAAAAACCCATGGAAAACCCTAAAAAAAAAAGCCCTAAAAATCCCATGGGAAACCTGCGTGAAACCCTAACAAAACCCGCAGGAAACCCACGTGAAACCCTAAAAAAGCCCCAAAAAAACCCAGATTAAACCCCTCGCTCCTCCTGGCGGGGCAGTCCCGGGTGCCAGCAGGGACCGGGGCCCCCAGACCCACCAGGCACTGGTTGTCCTGCCGGTGGATGCTGATCCTGCAGTCCTTGACCACCACGTGGGTGATTTCCCCGAAGTCGCAGAAGCGGCACCAGGGCGGCTCGGCCGGCTGCGCCTCCGGCTCCCTGCTCCTGCTCCTCCTCCCGAAGTACCCGCGCTGGGAGAGGCTTCCCGTGCCCTGCAAGGGGGAGAGGAGAGTTCCAGACTTTTCCTGCTGCTGGGGGGGAATCGGGACAGGCTGGAGGAAAAGGCTGGAGGCGCCAAGGAAGGGGTTTGGGTGGGAAACCGGGAAAACTGGGACAGGAACAGAGGGGGCACGCCAGGCAAAACCCAGGAGCACAAACCAAGGAAAAAGATGGATTTGGGGTGGGATGGAGCATCCCAAACCCACCGCAAACCGAAGATTTGGGGCAGGAATGGAGCATCCTAACCCACCACAAACCAAGGAAAAAGATGGGATTTGGGGTGGGATGGAGCATCCCAAACCCACCATAAACCAAGGAAAAACACAGGATTTGGGGTGGGATGGAGCATCCCAAACCAAGGACAAACCAAGGAAAAAGATGGGATCTGGGGTGGAATGGAGCATCCTAAACCCACCAGAAACCAAGGACAAAGATGGGATTTGGGGCAGGAATGGAGCATCCCAAAGCCACCACAAACCAAGGAAAAAGATGGGATCTGGGGTGGAATGGAGCATCCCAAACCAAGGACAAACCAAGGAAAAAGATGGGATTTGGGGTGGGATGGAGCATCCCAAAGCCACCGCAAACCGAGGAAAAAGATGGGATTTGGGGCAGGAATGGAGCATCCCAAACCCACCACAAACCGAGGATTTGGGGCAGGAATGGCTCATCCCAAAGCGAGGATTTGGGGCAGGAATGGCTCATCCCAAAGCCACCACAAACACAGGACAAACACAGGATTTTTGGTGGGAATGGCTCATCCCAAACCGAGGATTTGGGGCAGTAACGTCTCCTCCCAAAGTGAGGATGTGGGGCAGGAATGGAGCATCCCAAACCCACCACAAACCGAGGATTTGGGGCAGCAATGTCTCCTCCCAAACCGAGGATTTGGGGCAGGAATGGCTCATCCCAAACCAAGGATTTGGGGCAGGAATGTCTCCTCCAAAGCGAGGATTTGGGGCAGCAATGTCTCCTCCCAAAGCGAGGATTTGGGGCAGCAGCGTCTCCTCCCAAGCCCGCCCCATCCCCAGCCACCTCGGCGGGCGCCGGCCTCCACTGGATGCCGCCGGTGCCGGTGACCAGCACGTGGTGCGTGACCGGGCGCTCCCGCGGCCGCTCCGGCTCCGCGCGTGGCCCCTTCTCGCCCTCGGCCGCCGTCTCCAGCGCCAGCACCGGGAAGAGCTCGGCCCCAAAGCGGGGAGCCAGCTGCTCCAGCGTGGCCAGGTACTTGTACATCACGTCCCGCGCCGTCAGGCCGCCCGCGGCCACCGTGTGCCGCTGGAAGCGCCGCAGGAAGCGGCGGAAGACGTTCTTCATGCGGAACCGCGTCAGGGCGCTGTGCTGCTGGATCTGGCGGCGGAAGGAGCGCGGGATGCAGTCCTTGAAGCTGCCGGGATGAAGGGAACCGGTCAGGGAAGAGGGGAGGGAGAGCGTGGGATGCGATGGGGAAAGATGGCGCAAAACGGGGGGAAAGATAACAGTGAAATAGGAGGGAAAAGCAGTGAAAAAGGAGGAAAAAGCAGTGAAAAAGAAGGAAAACAAGGAAAAACCAGTGAGAACGAAAAGACAAACCAGTGAAAACGAAGGAAAAACCAGTGAAAAACGAGGAAAAACCACTGAAAAACGAGGAAAAAAAACAGTGAAAAAGAAGGAAAAACCGGTGAAAAAGGAGGAAAAAGCAGTGAAAAATGAGGAAAAATGAGGAAAAACCAGTGAAAACGAAGGATAAACCAGTGAAAACGGAGGAAAAACCAGTGAAAAAAACGAGGAAAAAACAGTGAAAAAGAAGGAAAAACCAGTGAAAAATAAGGAAAAACCAGTGAGAACAAAGGGAAAATGAGGAAAAACCAGTGAGAACGAAGGACAAACCAGAGAAAAACGAGGAAAAAAAAAACACTGGAAAAGAAGGAAAAACCGGTGAAAAACGAGGAAAAACCAGTGAAGAAGAAGGAAAAACGAGGAAAAACCAGTGAAAAAGAAGGAAAAACCAGTGGAAAAAAAGGAAAAACCAGTGAAAAACCAGTGAAAAAGAAGGAAAAACCAGTGAAAAATGAGGAAAAAGCAGTGAAAAAGGAGGAAAAAGCAGTGAAAAATGAGGAAAAAGCAGTGAAAAATGAGGAAAAACCAGTGAAAAACGAGGAAAACCCAGTGAAAAAGGAGGAAAAACCAGTGAAAAACGAGGAAAAACCAGTGAAAAAGAAGGAAAAAAACCAGTGAAAAACAAGGAAAAACCAGTGAAAAATGAGGAAAACCCAGTGAAAAAGAAGGAAAAATGAGTGAAAAATGAGGAAAAACTGGTGAAAAATGAGGAAAACCCAGTGAAAAAGAAGGAAAAAGCAGTGAAAAATGAGGAAAACCCACTGAAAAACGAGGAAAAAGCAGTGAAAAAGAAGGCAAATCCCCCTTGGAAGCAGAGCAGGAACCCACCTGTACTTCCTGGCCACCTCCTCCAGGGAAAGGCCCTTCCTGAGGGCGAGGTGGCTCAGGTGCAGCACGGCCATGCCCAGGCTCTCGTTCTTGAACCTCTGCATTTCAGGCTCGCTCTGGAAATCCCGCAGCGAGGCGACGTCGTTGATGAACTCGAATTTTCCCTGTCGAACGTGGAATAATTGGGAACAAAACTCAGGAGGATTCTCCTCGTGTTTTAAAATGGGGGACCACAAGGAAAAAACCCCTTAAAAGGGAAAATCCTGCGGAATTCTGGAATCCCACTCAGCTCCAGTCCCAGCCGTTTTCCTTTCCCACAGGGAAAACACAGGGGGGTTTTTTACCCTCAAACAAACCCCCGGGGATGGGAATTGGGATCCTGATCCAAACCCAGCTGGGCTGAGGGAAACCCTCCCGTTTTCCCCGAGTCCTGCCCCGTTACCTGCTCAAACAGGTACTCAAAGGAGGCCCTGTCCAGCAAGGCCCCTCCGCGAGGTTTCTCCTCGGGGGAATCGCCCGTGCGCGGCGCGTTCCGGAAAACCGCCGGCTCCTGCTCGTTCATCCCGTGCCAGTTCCGGAAATAAAACCTGGAACGGGGAGAGGATGGCGGGAGAGGGGCTGGCCCCGTGCCGGGGGCCACGTCCTGGGCTCAGATCGGGGCATTTTGGGGTTTTTGTCAGGAATAAAACTTCTCGGAACCACAGGAGAAACAGCGACGCGCTTAAAACAAATCAGGATTTGAGCACAGGGAGTGAATCTGAGCTGGGAGTGAAGAGCAGCAGCCTCTTCCTGCCTCCAGAACGGGACCATTTAAAGCTTTCCCCACCTTTTTCAGCCCTGCTGATCCCAAAAACCTCCATGAGAGATGCTGGGAGCGATTTTGGGAGGAAAGAAGTGGATTTTTGCACGCTGACGGAGAGGCCAAATCCGACATTTCCCCCCTCCAACTGGGACCGGTTTTTCCAAGGGAACCCTCACTCACCTCATCCTGAAGATGAGGTTGATGCTGGTGTCCTTGCCGACGTGGAACTGGTGGTTGGGAGGGAGCCAGATCCGGCTCTGGGGGTCGTAGAGGGCGAAGAGGCTGTAGCAGAGCGGGGTGATCCCTGCCAGGAATGGGAAAAGCCAGCTTGGCTCCCAAAAACCGAAATTCCAGGGGGTTTGCTCCCAAAACCCGAAATTCCAGGGGCTTTGCTCCCAAAACGCTGAAATTCCAGGGGGTTTGCTCCTAAAAACTGAAATCCCCCTGTCCCATCCCTGTCCCTGTGTCCCATCCCTGTCCCTTTGGGGCTCACCCAGGCTCCGTGCCAGGTCGATGCAGATCCCCCTGTCCCATCCCTGTCCCCATCCCTGTCCCTGTGTCCCATCCCTGTCCCCATCCCTGTCCCCATCCCTGTCCCCATCCCCTTTGGGGCTCACCCAGGCTCCGTGCCAGGTCGATGCAGATCCCCCTGTCCCATCCCTGTCCCATCCCTGTCCCTGTCCCATCCCTGTCCCCTTTGGGGCTCACCCAGGCTCCGTGCCAGGTCGATGCAGATCTCCCTGTCCCATTCCTGTCCCTGTCCCCATCCCTGTCCCATCCCTGTCCCCATCCCTGTCCCTGTGTCCCATCCCTGTCCCTGTGTCCCATCCCTGTCCCCTTTGGGGCTCACCCAGGCTCCGTGCCAGGTCGATGCAGATCTCCCCATCCCTGTCCCTGTGTCCCATCCCTGTGTCCCATCCCTGTCCCTGTGCTCACCCAGGCTCCGTGCCAGGTCGATGCAGATCTCCCCATCCCTGTCCCCATCCCTGTCCCTGTCCCCATCCCTGTCCCATCCCTGTGTCCCATCCCTGTGTCCCATCCCTGTCCCTGTGCTCACCCAGGCTCCGTGCCAGGTCGATGCAGATCTCCCCATCCCTGTCCCCATCCCTGTCCCATCCCTGTCCCTTTGGGGCTCACCCAGGCTCCGTGCCAGGTCGATGCAGATCTCCTCGGCGCTCAGGGCCCCCCGGCCGTACACGCGGCATCGCTCGCGCTCCTCGTCCCCGCTCCAGTGCAGCAGCACCTTCAGCCCCGCGCCCGCCGGGAACCCGCAGCCCTCGGGCTCGGCCGCGGCCCCGCGCCGGCACAGGGACATGGCACAGGCGGTTCTGGGGGGAAAAACACGGGATTGGGACCCAAAAATGGGATTGGGATCCAAAAATGGGATTGGGAACCCGCAGCCCTCGGGCTCGGCCGCGGCCCCGCGCCGGCACAGGGACATGGCACAGGCGGTTCTGGGGGTGAAAAACACGGGATTGGGACCCAAAAATGGGATTGGGACCCAAAAATGGGATTGGGACCCAAATAATGGGATTGGGAACCCGCAGCCCTCGGGCTCGGCCGCGGCCCCGCGCTGGCACAGGGACATGGCACAGGCGGTTCTGGGGGTGAAAAACACGGGATTGGGACCCAGAAATGGGATTGGGACCCAAAAATGGGATTGGGAACCCGCAGCCCTCGGGCTCGGCCGCGGCCCCGCGCTGGCACAGGGACATGGCACAGGCGGTTCTGGGGGAAAAAAATGGGATTGAGACCCAAATAATGGGATTGGGACCCAAAAATGGGATTGGGATCCAAAAACGGGATTGGGACCCAAAAACAGGATTGGGACCCAGAAATGGGATTGGGACCCAGAAATGGGATTGGGACCCAGAAATGGGATTGGGATCCAGAAATGGGATTGGGAACCCACAGCCCTCGGGCTCAGCCACAGCCCTGCACTGGCACAGGGACATGGCAGAGGCAGTTCTGGGGGAAAAACACGGGATTGGGAGGATTGGGACCCAAAAAATGACATTCCCAAAGCTGGAGAGTGCCAGGGACATGGCGGCAGCTTTGGGGGAAAAAGCAGGATTTGGCGCCCATTTCAGGGTGGATTTGGGGATTTTCAGGAGGGATTCTGGACCCATTTCAGAGTGGAATTCTGATCCCCTTCAGAATGGGTTTTGCACCTGTTTCAGGATGGATTTTGATCCATTTCAGGGTGCATTTTTGACCCGTTTCAGGCTGTATTTTGACCCAATTTCCGCTGCATTTTTGACCCACTTCAAGAGGAAACTTTGACCCATTTCAGGGTAGATTTTGACCCACTTCAAGATGAAATTTTGACCCATTTTGGGGCGGATTTTGACCCATTTCAGTCTCTCAGAGGACACTCCCCCCCCCGGCCCCGGTTGGTACCGGCCCCTGCCCCTCTCCCCGCCCGCCCCGGTTGGTACCGGCCCGCGGCCCCTCACGGGGCTGGTTCGGGGCCCACCCCCGGTTGGCACCGCCCCTCCCGGTTGGAACCGACCCTGTCCCCCGTCCCGGTTGTCACCACCCGCCGTTATCCCCCCGGCTGCGGCCGGTCCGTGCGGTGGTACCGGCTCCCCCCCCCCCGTCCCCCCCGTTGGTACCGGCCCGGCCCGGCCGCCGCTCCGGCTCCTCCGCCCCGCAGCGCCGCCGCCTCCCATTGGCCGCGAGAGACGCGCGCTGCCATTGGCCGGGCCGGAGCCAGGCCACGCCCACACCCCATGGGCGGGGCCGCGCCTGGGGAAGGGCTCTGATTGGCTGAGGGGCGGGGCTCTAGGGAAAGGGAGGAGCCCGAGATGCGCAGGTAAAGGGGGCGGGGCCTGAGGGGAACAGCTGGATCCGAAATGGGAACAGCTGGATGTGAAACGGGAACAGCTGGATCCAGAATTGGGAACAGCTGGATCCAGAATTGGGAACAGCTGGATCCAGACTTGGGGATCGCACAGCTGGAACCAGGAACGCAACTGGGCCCAAAGTGGGAGTGGGATGGATCCGAACTGGAGGGTGCTGGAAGGGGCACAGCTGGATTTAAACACGGGCACAGCTGGACTGGGATCCAAATTGTTTGGGGCTTTTTTTTTGGGGGGTGCCCAAACCCCATCAGGGATCCCCCCAAAGCCTCCCTGGCAGGATGGGGGGGGGGGTCACAGCCCCCTGCCCCTCTCAGGGCGGCTCCAATCCCAAAACCCCCCCAGAGCCCCCCAGAGCCCCAGGCCATGCTCAGCTTCTCCAATCTCTTTATTCTCTGCTCTGGCACCGCGGCTCCGACCCCCCCTGCACCCCAAACCCACCCGGAGGGGATGGGGGGGGGCCCAAACCTCCCAAAATCCTTCCCCAAAGTCTCTACGGCGTGAAAAGCGTGGGGGGGGGGGGGGGCGTGAGGGGAGTGGGGAGGGGGCTGCAGGGCTGGGGGGGGGTGGGGCACGACCCCTCCCCGCCTGATTCTGCTGCTTTTCCGACGGGGGGGTTGAAATTGTTGGGTTGGTTTTTTTGTATTTTGTTTTTTTTTTTTTTCCGTGGTTTTTTTTGACCTTTTCTGCCATTTTTCTTTTTTTTCCCCGCGGGCCGCGGTGGCCCCGCTCAGGGCTTGGCCTCCGGCTCGGCTCCTCCTCCGTTCTCCTTCTGGATCTCCTCGTAGGGCGCCGCCTCCCCCGCGCCTCTCTCGGCCCCGTCCCCGCCCTTGGCGTTGGGCACCCAGAGCCCCGAGTCGATGCAGCGCTGCATGTGGTACTTGGCCTCCTGCACAGGGGAAAAGGGGTGCTGGGGACGGCCGGGGGGGTTTGGGAACAGCCAGGGGGGGTTTGGGAACAGCCAGGGGGGGTTTGGGGACATCCTGGGGGGGTTTGGGGACGGCCAGGGGGGATTTGGGGACACCTCAAGGGGTTTGGGGACGGCCGGGGGGGTTTGGGGACACCCCAAGGGGTTTGGGGACAGCCTGGAGGGGTTTGGGGACAGCCGGGGGGATCTGGGACCCTTCCCGAGGGATTTGGGGCTCCCCTGAGGGATTTGGGGACATCCTCGAGGGGTTTGGGGACACCTCAAGGGGTTTGGGGACAGTTCAGGGGGTTTGGGGACACCCCAGAGGGATCTGGGACCCTTCCCGAGGGATTTGGGGACCCTTCCCGAGGGATTTGGGGACACCCTGAGGGATTTGGGGACACCCCAAGGGGTTTGGGGACACCCTGAGGGATTTGGGGACATCCTCGAGGGGTTTGGGGACACCCCAAGGGGTTTGGGGACATCCTTGAGAGGTTTGGGGACACCTTGAGGGATTTGGGGACATCCTCAAGGGGTTTGGGGACACCCCGAGGGATTTGGGGCTCCCCTGAGGGATTTGGGGACACCTCAGGGGGTTTGGGGACACCTTGAGGGATTTGGGTTTCCCCGGGTGTTTGGGGACCCCTCCCGAGGTATTTTTGGGGTGAAAAAACTCACGGTTGGGTCCATTTTGCTGATTGTGTCCTGCAGCATCTGAACGTCTTTGACATCGAAGCATTTCTGCAGCTCCTGCTGGGCCAGGGACTGGTCAGCGCTGGGAGGGACTGGGATTGTACTGGGAGGGACTGGGATTGTACTGGGAATGACTGGGATTGTACTGGGAGGGACTGGGAGGGACTGGGATTGTACTGGGAGGGACTGGGATTGTACTGAGATTGTACTGGGAGGGACTGGGAATGACTGGGAGAGACTGGGATTGTGCTGGGAGGGACTGGGATTGTACTGGGAGAGACTGGGATTGTACCCCCAAACCAGGGTTTTTAGCCCCAAACTCACAGGGTCCCAAAAGGTCCCAAACCAGGAGTTTTTAGCCCCAAACCCGGGGTTTTTAGCCCCAAACTCACAGAGCCCCAAAAAGCCCCAAACCCGGGGTTTTTAGCCCCAAACTCACAGGGCCCCAAAATGCCCCAAAAAGGGGAGTTTAGCCCCAAACTCACAGAGCCCCAAAAAGCCCCAAACCAGGGGGTTTTGACCCAAACTCACGGGGCTCCAAAAGGCCCCAAACCAGGAGTTTTTAGCCCCAAACTCACGGGGCCCCAAAAAGCCCCAAACCAGGGGTTTTAGCCCCAAACCCAGGGTTTTTAGCCCCAAACCAGGGGTTTTTAGCCCCAAACCCGGGGTTTTTAGCCCCAAACCCGGGGTTTTTAGCCCCAGACTCACGGCGGGCAGGGACTCGTAGACCTCGACGGGGTCGAGCCCGCCGGGCCCCAGGCGTTTCTGGCGCTCCTCCTCCTCGTACTCGCGCAGCGCCTTCTCCAGGCGCGCCCGCGCCCGGCCCCGCACGCGCTCCTTGAACGCCTCCAGCTCCTCCGTGAAGCCCTCCAGGTACTGCTGGTCTGCCGTCTGTGAAAGGGGGGAAAAAAAAGGGGGAAAAAGGGGGGTGCGGGCCAAAATCCGGGTCAAATTCGGGTAAAATTCGCTGAAAATTCGGCTGAAATTCAGCATAAATCCGGTTGAAAACCCAGCTCAAATTCATCGCAAATACGGTTCAAAATTCAGCCCAAATCCGGCTCAAATCCAGCTCAAATTCACCCAAAATTCACCACAAGTTCACCCCCAAATTTACCCCAAATTCATCTCAAATCCACCTCAAAATTCAGTATAAATCCGGTTCAAAACCCAGCTCAAACGCACCACAAATCCGGTTCAAAATTTAGCCCAAGTCCAGCTCAAATTCACCCAAAATTCACCACAAATTCACCCCCCAATTTACCCCAAATTCATCTCAAATCCACCTCAAAATTCAGCTGAAATTCAGCAGAAATCCGGTTCAAAATCCAGCTCAAATTCACCCAAAATTCACCACAAGTTCACGCCCAAATTAATCTCAAATCCACCTCAAAATTCGGCTGAAATTCAGCATAAATCCGGTTCAAAACCCAGCTCAAATTCATCGCAAATATGGTTCAAAATTCAGCCCAAATTCACCCAAAATTCACCACAAGTTCACCCCCAAATTTACCCCAAATTCATCTCAAATTCACTCAAAATTCAGCTGAAATTCAGCATAAATCCGGTTCAAAACCCGGCTCAACTTCGCCACAAATCCGGTTCAAAATCCAGCTCAAATTCACCCAAAATTCACCACAAGTTCACCCCCAAATTTACCCCAAATTCATCTCAAATTCACTCAAAATTCAGCTGAAATTCAGCATAAATCCGGTTCAAAACCCGGCTCAACTTCGCCACAAATCCAGTTCAAAATTCAGCCCAAATCCGGCTCAAATTCACACAAAATTCACCACAAATTCAGCCCCAAATTCATCTCAAATCCACCTCAAAATTCACTCCCAAACTACCTCAAATCCACCCCCAAATCCACTCCAAAATTCACTCCAAATCCACCCAAAATTCACCCAAAAATCCACCTCAAATTCCCCACAAATTCACCCCAAATTCACCCCCAAATTCCGCCTAAATTCACCCCAAAATTCAACCTAAATTCACCTCAAATTCAACCTAAATTCACCTCAAATTCCCCACAAATTCACTGCCAAATTCGCCCCCAAATTCAACCTAAATTCACCCCCAAATTCAACCTAAATTCACCCCCAAATTCACCCTAAATTCACCCCGAATCCCCCCCCAAATTGAATTTTTACCTTAATTTTGGTGAAGAACTGCCTGAAGCAGGCCCTGGGGTCCACCTTGAGGCTCTTGGCCAGCTCCAGGATGAACTGCATGACGATGGTCTGGTGGGCCACCTGCTCCATCAGCGCGTGTTTCTGGGGACAAACAGCTCAAAATCCCCAAAGTGCCCCAAAATCCCACATCCCTCCAACCCTTCTGGGTGGGGAAAGGTGATTTGGAACAGGGGATCCCTGCAGGAGCTGCTAAGGGCGTTAGGGTGCTGGATTTGATGGGCTTTAGGATGCTGGATTTGATGGGCTTTAGGAGCTTTTTGACCCCAAATTAGTCCCAAATTAACCCCAAATTAATCCCAAATTCCCTGATTTTGATATTTTTTTCCAGGCTCCTCACCCCAGGTAAAGCCTGGAGCAGCAGGAGAGGGGTCTGGGGGTGCACCCCTCTCCCATACAGGATGATTTTAAGGATCTCTCCTACTCCATAACCCCCAAACCTCTCATTTTTTCCTGCCCAAAACCCAGAGGGGTGGCAAGAAAGCGACTGCAGCCCGGAAAAGGGAGAATTTCCCCCCAAATTCAGCCTCACCTCCTCCACCTCCAGGTCGATGCACCAGATCACCAGGTAGTTGGCTGTCTCCTCGCACACCAGGTGAGGGTGCTCCGACAGGTGCTTCTGGCTGTCGTCCCAGCGCCGCAGCATCCCTGCGGCAGCGCGGGGGTTAATGAGGGAATGGACTCGGGGCTCGTTAGGGGGGGTTCGTTAATGAGGGAATCGACTCTGGGCTCGTTAGGGGGGGTTCATTAATGAGGGAATCGACTCTGAGCCTCGTTAGGGGGGGTTCGTTAATGAGGGAATCGACTCTGGGGCTCGTTAGGGGGGGTTCATTAATGAGGGAATCGACTCTGGGCTCGTTAGGGGGGGTTTGTTAATGAGGGAACCGATTCTGAACCTTGTTAGGGGGTTCATTAATGAGGGAACCCACTCTGGGTTAGGGGATTGTTAATGAGGGAATCAACTCTGGGTTAGGGGATTGTTAATGAGGGAACCCACACGGGGCTCGTTAGGGGGGGGTTCGTTAATGAGGGAACCAATTCTGAACCTTGTTAGGGGGTTCATTAATGAGGGAACCCACTCTGGGTTGGGGGATTGTTAATGAGGGAATCCAATCGGAGCTCGTTAGGGGATTGTTAATGAGGGAACCCACTCAGGGCTCATTAGGGGGGTCCTTAATGAGGGAATCGACTCAGGGCTCGTTAGGGGGTTCATTAATGAGGGAATCAACTCGGGGCTCGTTAGGGGGTTCATTAATGAGGGAACCCACTCTGGAGCTCGTTAGGGGATTCCTGAATGAGGAAATCCACTCTGAGCCTCGTTAGGGGATTCCTTAATGAGAAAATCCACTCTGGAGCTCGTTAGGGGGTTCCTTAATGAGGGAATCCACTCTGGAGCTCGTTAGGGGATTCCTTAATGAGAAAATCCACTCTGAACCTCGTTAGGGGGTTCCTGAATGAAGGAACCAGGGTGGGTATGAGGGAGAGCACCTCGTCCTGAAATTTAAATAAACTGCCCCAAAACTCTGCTTCAGCAGGGGGGAAACGGGGAAACCACACCAAATCCTGGATTTTCAGCAGAGTGAGAGGGTTCCCTCTCCTTAATGAGGGAACCAACTCCGAACCTCGTTAGGGGATTCCTTAATGAGGGAACCAACTCCGAACCTCGTTAGGGGATTCCTTAATGAGGGAACCAACTCTGAACCTCGTTAGGAGCAGGGTGGGCACGAGGGAGAGCACCTCGTCCTGAAATTTAACTAAACTGCCCCAAAACTCAGCTTCAGCAGGGGGAAAATGGGGAAACCACACCAAATCCTGGATTTTCAGCAGAGTGAGAGGGTTCCAGGGCTGCTCCCAGCACTGGGGGCGCTCCCCAGGCCGGGGAACCCCAAGAAGCTGCTCCCCAATGCCCCCAGCTCTCTCTCACCGAAGTGCTTGATCTGCTTCTCGTATCTCTCCACGAAGCTTTTGTGCTTCTTCTCCTTCTGCTCCTCCGTCTCCTCCTTCTCCTCGGGCTTCACGTTGAAAACGCTCTGGGGACCCGAAGGAAAACGGGGAACGGTTTGGGGGGAAACCTCACCGGTTTGGGGGCGGGTTTTTGGGGGTTTTTAGCAGATTTGGGGTCATTTTTTGGGGGAACATCACAGATTTGGAGTCGATTTTTGGGGGTTTTTTTTGCAGATTTGGGGTCAATTTTTTGGGGGTAACCATCACAGATTTGGAGTCGGGTTTTTTGGGGTTTTTTTTGCATATTTGGGGTCAGTTTTTTTGGGGGTAAACATCACAGATTTGGGGTCAGTTTTTTGGGGTTTTTTTCACAGATTTGGGGTCAGTTTTTTGGGGGTAAACCTCACAGATTTGGGGTCAGTTTTTTGGGTTTTTTTTCGCAGATTTGAGGTTAGTTTTTTGGGGTAAACATCACAGATTTGGGGTCAGTTTTTTTGTGGGAAATATCACAGATCTGGGGTCAGTTTTTTGGGGTTTTTTTTCGCAGATTTGGGGTCAGTTTTTTGGGGAAACATCACAGATTTGGGGTCAGGTTTTTGGAGTAAACATCACAGACTTGGGGTCAGTTTTTTGGGGGAAACATCACAGATTTGGAGTCATTTTTTGGGGGATTTTTCACAGATTTGGAGTCATTTTTTGGGGTTTTTTTCACAGATTCGAGGTCAGTTTTTTGGGGTGCTTTTCACAGATCTGGTGCCCGTTTTTTGGGGTGTTTTTCACAGATCTGGTGCCCATTTTTCGGGGTGTTTCCTCCCCAGTCCCCCACCTTGCTGAACCCGTCCTTGCTGAGCGTGTCCACGTTCCAGGGCATGTTCTTCTCCTTCTTCCTCAGCTCCTCCAGCTTGTTCTCCCAGCTCTTCTCCTCGTTCCTCAGCTGCTGGGCCTCGGCCTGGAGCTTCTCCAGCTCCCCCCGGCCGCTCTCGGGCTCGGCCAGCTCCAGCTCCTTCACCTTCTTCAGGCACTCGGCCAGTTTGCGCTTGCACTCGCGGCAGCCCTTGTCCAGCTCCTCCTTCTCCTTCTGGAACTGCTCCATGCGCTCCACGCGGGCCTGGGGGCGCCCACAAAGCTCCAGACCCCCCCATTTTGACGCTTCTGGGGTGGCTTTGGGGTTCTGGGGATTCCCAGACCCCCAAAGTTTGGAGGGGGGGGGGGGTTTGGGGGTGTTGCTGCCCCACCCTGGGGGACAGGGAGGGGATTGGGGGGGCTGAGACCCCACTCTGAGGGGGTTCCCAAGGGAAGGGGCAGAACCTGGGTGGGGGAATGGGGAAACCGGGATGGGGGCACAGGGATGGGCACGGGGTGTGCTGGGCACAGGAAGCCCAAACTCATTTTTGGGCTGGATTTGGGGTGAATTTGGGGGTGGACTTGGAGTGAATTTGGGGTGGATTTGGAGTGAATTTAGGGCGACTTTTGAAGTGAATTTTGGGGTGGATTTGGAGTGAATTTAGGATGGATTTGGGGTGAATTTGAGATGGATTTGTCGTGAATTTGGGGTGGATCTAGGGTGAATTTTGGGGTGGATCTGGCGTGAATTTGGGGCTGGATTTGGGACGGATTTAGGGTGAATTTGTTGTGAATTTGGGGTGTCCTGGATGGGGGCACAGGGAATGGGGACACAGGGAACTGGGGTGCCCTGGGCCTGGGATGGGGGCACAGGAATTGGGGCGTTCCGAGATGGGGCACAGGATCTGGGGTGCCTGCGATAGGGGCGCTCCCCGCCGGGGGTCCCGGTACGATCCCACCGGAACGCGGGGAGCCCCCGCCCCAGGGCGGCCCCCGGAGCTGGGAAAAGGGAAACGCCCCCCGCCCCACGGGGGTCCCACCAACAACCGAACCCCCCCGCCCGCCTCCCCCGGCAATGCCGGGCCCGGTCGCCATGGGAACGGGGCGCCAGGCCCCGGAGGGCCCCGCGGGCCGGCCCGGCCGCACCTGGTGCCGCCATCGGAAGAGGCTGGCGGTGTCGATGTTGGGGTGAGTCTCGTCCTCATCGTCCGAGACCTCGATGTGGTCCCACACGCTGTAATCCACCATGGCGCGGCCGCCGCGACCCTCCGCCACCCGCCCGGCACGGCACGGCCGCTTCCGCCCGCGCCTGACGCGCTTCCGCCCGCGCCTGACGCACTTCCGGCGCCGCGCCGGCACTCCCGAGCATGCGCGCAGCGCGCGTGGAGCAGCACCCGGTTCAAAGATGGCGGCGGATTTAAAGAGACACGAACACTCCCCCCCCTACACGTGCAGCGTCCGTACAGAATTTTTTTTAAGAGACGTAATTAAAGGAATAGAGTCTTTAAAACGATTTTGAGGGTTTAAACTGAAGGAAAAGCCTGCCTCTTCCATGAGTTGAGGAGGTTTAATTGACTGGGAATCCCTAGTTTCTATTATTTCAGGGATAGTTGAGGGCAAATTCAACTTTTCCGTTGTTTAAATAGGTAAATTGAGGTGGAATCTCTGTTTTCTGCCATTTTTAAGGGTTTACATTGAAAGAAGCCTCTTTAGGGGCCGTTTTAAGAGTTCCATCAACAGGGTCTCTGTTTTAAGACACGTTATAGAGAAAATGGTGTCAAAAAGCCCCAAAAATGGTGTTTCTTGAGGCAAAACCAGTAAAGGGAGCAGGAAGCCTCTTGGCGGATTAAAGTGAGGGAGAATTCCATTAAAACAAATAAAATTGATGCAGAATCCTACATTACAAGGGTTTAAATTGAGGGAAACTCCACATTTTTCACCATTTTTATGGGGTTTTTTGGGAGGAGACCCCTTTTATCCATCATTTTAGGGGTCTGAACATGGAAAAAGGGGTTTCCTCTATTTTTAAGGCTTAAAAAAAAAATCCTTTTTTCATCGTTTTAAAGGGTTCAACTAGAGAAGTTCCCTTAATTCTGAGGAGAAAAAGGCGGGAAATGTGAGGGGAAAAAAGGCGGGAAACGTGAGGGAAGAAAAGGGCGGGAAACGTGAGGGGAAAAGGGGGGAAACCTGAGGGGAAAAAGGCAAAACTAAAGTAATTTATAGGGTGCTCAAGTAATTTATAGGGTGCTCACCTCCTTCCACCTCTGCCACACCCCAGCACCAACCCCGTGGTTTAAGACCCCCAAAACACCCACCCACAGCTCAGCCCCCCAATATCCCCCCACAACAAATCTCCAGCACTGAGTCCTGAGTCTTTATTAGAACATTTTATGGGGGCGACACACACAAGACCCCCCCAAAATCAGCTACAAAAATAGAAGTGCTAAAATTCCCCCAAAAGACACGGGGGCAAGGTCCAGGCCCCCCAAAACGAGGCGGGGAGCTCAGGTTTGTAGTGTTTGAAGCGGGACCAGCCCAGAGCGAGGGGATCTGGGGTGTTTGGGGATTTCTCTCTCAGCTGGAGGAGGCGGCCCGGCCATGAGGGGCCTGTGCTTGCCATGGGGTGTTTGGGGTTTGTTCTCTCAGCTGGAGGAGGCGGCCCGGCCGTGAGGGGCCCGTGCTCGCCCTGGGGTGTTTGGGGTTTATTCTCTCAGCTGGAGGAGGCGGCCCGGCCGTAAGGGGCCTGTGCTTGCCCTGGGGTGTTTGGGGTTTTCTCTCAGTTGGAGGAGGCGGCCCGGCCGTAAGGGGCCTGTGCTTGCCCTGGGGTGTTTGGGGTTTTCTCTCTCAGCTGGAGGAGGCGGCCCGGCCGTGAGGGGCCCGTGCCCGCCCTGGGGTGTTTGGGGTTTTCTCTCTCAGCTGGAGGAGGCGGCCCGGCCGTGAGGGGCCCGTGCCCGCCATGGGGTGTTTGGGGTTTATTCTCTCAGCTGGAGGAGGCGGCCCGGCCGTGAGGGGCCCGTGCCCGCCCTGGGGTGTTTGGGGTTTGTTCTCTCAGCTGGAGGAGGCGGCCCGGGGGTGTTTGGGGTTTTCTCTCTCAGCTGGAGGAGGCGGCCCGGCCATGAGGGGCCCGTGCCCGCCGTGCCGCCGTGGCCAGGCGCTGCTGGGCCAGGAAGGAGCGAGCACCACCGGGGCCACCCCAGGCCGCCGCCGCCGCCATGTCACCCTCGTGCTGCTGCAGCGCCAGCCCCTGAAGGGGTTAACGGGGTTAATTTAACGGGGGTCCCGGGGCAGGGGGGGGCCCGGGGGTCTCGGTCGCCGTTCTCACCATGTTGTACCAGGCGGTGACCAGCAGCCGCTCCTCGCGCTCCCGCTGCGCCCGGCTGCGCTCCCAATCGTTCTGGGGGTGTTGAGGGGGGTTCAGCTGGGGGTGGAGACCCCCGGGACCCCCACCCAAGCCGGGGTTGTTAACCCCTCACCTCCAGGTGCCGGATCAGCGCGTCCTTCTCCTGCAGCTGGCTGCGGAGGAGCTGCAGGACGGGGGCCAACGGGGGGGTCCCAGGGGGGTCACCAGGGGGGCCCGAGGGTTTCTGGGGGGGCGAACTCGTGGAACTCCTAAATCCTGATCCCGTAGCGGGAATAAAGAGGGAGCTTAGCCAGGAAGGACCCCCGAACCTCCCCAGATCTTCATGGGGAAACTGAGGCACAGCTCATCTCCTGCCCCCTCCCTGCAGACATCGCCCCACAGGATCCCTATACAAACCCCAACCCGGGGTACCCCAAAATTCTCCCCCCAGGACTCCCCACACCCCGACCCCTCCCCGAATTCTGATGCCCACTCCAGAGCCCCTCATACCAGCCTTGGAGAGCTCCAGCTCTTCCTCCTCCTCCTCCTCCTCCTCCTCTCCCTCTGGCAGCTCATCCCTGGGGGGGGACACGGGGCAGTCACAGGCTGGGGATGTTGGGAGGGCTCCCCAAATTCCCCCCACCCCCCAAAAACTCACAGGTCCTCGGGGGTCTCCTCCAGCAGCACCAACTGGGGGGAATTGAGAAAGAGATGAAGCACGAGCACTGAGGGAACCCCAATAAAACCTGACCCCCCTCTCCCCCAAAACACTGAGACCCTCCCCAAGACCCCGAGACCCACACAACGACCTGGGGACCCCCCCTTGGTGTTGAGAGACCCCCCCCAAAACCTCCCTGGTCCCCCCTCACCTCCTCCTGGGGCCCGCCCTGCGCTGTCTGAGGCTCGGCTGCCCCTGTGGCCTCCAGCCTGCGGGTGTGGGGGGCTCCTTAGGGACTGGGGGGGGGGTCTCAGGGGTCTCTCGAGGACCCCCAGCCCCCCCGGTTCCCCCACCTGTGCCGGAGCTGGTCCCGCTGCAGCCGCAGCCGTCGGTTCTCGCGCCGCAGCCGCGTCACCGTGTCCCTGGGGGGGGACGGGGACACCGGGGTGCTCGTGGGGGACACCGGAACAAACCGGGGACCCCCCAACAAACCGGGGACCCCCCAACAAACCGGGGACCCCCCCACTCCCCACCTGCGCTTTTGGACACCTGCATGGACTCACCTGAGCTCTGCAGGAAGGATCTCAGCCGCCAAATTCCGGGGAGGGGCAGGGCCCCCCTCCAGCCCCGCGCCTGTCGGGGGGGGGGTAAAGGTGGATTTTGGGCATGGGCCCAGCAGGTGACACCCCAAAATTGTGCCCTGCCCACCCAAAGCCCCCCTGGAGCCCCCTGAACCCCCCCTGGAGCCCCCCAAACCCCCCTGGAGCCCCCCAAACCCCCCTGCAGCCCGAAGTGGAGGCTCTCTGGGGTCTCCCACAAGCGTCGTGCTGGGTCAGGAGCGTGTCCCGTCCCCACCCAGGTGTTCTGTGCCCCCCCAGCACTCACCTGCCTGGCTCAGGTAGCTCTGCTGCACCTGCACACAGCGCAGCTCCTCGTTGGCCTCACGCAGCGCGTCCCGCTCCTCCAGCAGCCTCTGCGGGGCACAGGGGGCTCAGGTGTGCCCCAGGTGTGTGCCCAGGTGTGTCCCAGGTGTGCCCAGGTGTGTCCCCAGGTGTGCCCCAGGTGTGCCCAGGTGTGTCCCCAGGTGTGTGCCCAGGTGTCCCCAGGTGTGCCCAGGTGCATCCCCAGCCTCGCCCACCTCCTTCTCCTGGCTCAGGGCCTCGAATCGCTCCTGCAGGTGCCGGAACTCCAGGTGCCACTTCTCGGCCCTCAGCGCCGCCTCCGCCTGCTGCCCGCTCAGCTCCTCCACCTGCACGGGGACACGGGGACAGGGGGACAGTGACAGCCCCAGGCACAGTGACAGCCCCGGGAACGGGGACACCCCCTGGAATGGGGACACGGGGACAACCCTGGGCACGGGGACACGGGGACAGTGACAGCCCCGGGCACGGGGACATGGGGACAGCCCCGGGAATGGGGACACGGGGACACCTCCGGGCACAAGGACACGGTGACACCCTCGGGACTGGGGACACGGTGACATCCCCGGGAATGGGGACACGGGGACAGCCCAGGCATGGGGACACGGTGACAGCCCCGGGAATGGGGACATGGGGACAGTCCCGGGAATGGGGACACGGTGACAGCCCAGGCACGGGGACACGGTGACAGCCCTGGGCACGGGGACACAGTGACACTCTCGGGCACGGTGACAGTCCTGGGAACAAGGACACGGTGACAGCCTCGGGAATGGGGACACGGGGACAGTGACAGCCCCGGGAACGGGGACACAGGGACACCCTTGGGAATGGGGACACGGTGACAGCCCCGGGCACAAGGACACAGGGACACCCCCGAGCACAGGGACACAGTGACGCCCCCTCGTCATGGTGACGCCCCCTCGTCATGGTGACACCCCCGGTCATGGTGACACCCCCTCGTCATGGTGACACCCCCGGTCATGGTGACAGCCCCGGTCATGGTGACATCCCCGGTCATGGTGACATCCCTGGTCATGGTGACACCCCCGGTCATGGTGACATCCCCGGTCACAGTGCCACAGCCAGCACCTGCCCGCGCCCCTCACCTGTTTGCGGGCGGCCTCCAGCTGCGCACACCCGGCCTGGGCGCGGCCCAGCTGCTGCTGCAGGTGTGCGGCCCTGCGCACCTGCGCCGCGTGCCGCTCCTCCAGCGCCCGCGCCCAGCGCCGCAGCTCGCCCGCCGCCGCCGCCCGGCCCCGGTACGCGGCCACCGCCGCCTCCAGGCGCCCAGCACGGGCTGACGACGCCCTGGGGACACGAGGGGACACGTGAGGTACCTGCACAACACCTGGGCACAGGTGAGCTGCGCCTGAGCCCCGCCACGCGGCCACCGCGGCACTGCCTGGAGGGTGACGGTGACACTGCGGGAGGTGGGGCCTCCCTGGAGCCTCCTGGCTCACCTGAGCAGGTGCTCGGTTTACCTGGGCAGGTTCCCCCTCACCTGGGCAGGTGCTCAGCTCACCTGGGCAGGTGCCCCCTCACCTGGGCAGGTTCCCCCTCACCTGGGCAGGTTCCCCCTCACCTGAGCAGGTTCCCCCTCACCTGGGCAGGTTCCCCCTCACCTGAGCAGGTACCCAGCGCCCCCAGCTCACCTGGGCAGGTTCCCCCAGCTCACCTGAGCAGGTACTCAGCTCACCTGGGCAGGTTCCCCCAGCTCACCTGAGCAGGTACTCAGCTCACCTGGGCAGGTTCCCCCAGCTCACCTGAGCAGGTACTCAGCTCACCTGGGCAGGTTCCCCCTCACCTGGGCAGGTTCCCCCTCACCTGAGCAGGTACTCAGCTCACCTGAGCAGGTCCATCTCGTCGCGCAGCGCCCGCGCCTCCCCCGCCAGCCCGCTGAGCTCCTGCGCCCGCGCCTGCAGCCCCCGCGCCTCCTGCTCCAGCCGCGAGCAGCGCGCCCGCAGCTCCTCCCGGCCGCTCTCCAGCCTGCGAGGGCAGCCCGGGCTCAGGTGAGGGCCGCAGGTGAGGGCGGGGGGCGCTCAGGGGAGGGGGGGTCTCACCTGTAATTCTCCTCCTGCAGCTCCTCCACCTGCGCCTGCAGCCGCAGCAGCTTCTTGGCGGCGGCGCCCGCGCCCTCGGCCTCCAGCTGCTCGCGCAGGGCGCGGTTCTCGGCGGCCAGGTGGCCCTTCTCCTCCAGCAGCGTGGCCACCTGCGGGCCAGGTGGGCAGGGGAGGGGCCCAGGTGTGCAGAATCACTCCCAGGTGGGCAGGAAGGGCACGGGGCTGTGGGGACCCTCCCAGGTGGGCAGGAAGGGCACGGGGCCGAGGGGACCCTCCCAGGTGGGCAAAATCGCTTCCCAGGTGTGCAGGAAGGGGCCCAGATGTGCAGAATCCATCCCAGGTGCGCATGATCCCTCCCAGATGTGCAGGATCCCCTCTCAGGTGTGCAGGAAGGGATCCAGATGAGCAGGAAGGAGCCCAGGTGTGCAGGATCCCTCCCAGGTGTGCAGGAGAGGCACGGGGCTGAGGGATTCCCTCCCAGGTGTGCAGGATCCCCTCCCAGCTGTGCAGGATCCCTCACAGGTGTGTAGGATCCCTCACAGGTGTACAGGATCCCTCCCAGGTGTGCAGAATCACTCCCAGATGAGCAGGAAGGAGGCCAGGTGTGCAGGATCCCCTCCCAGGTGTGCAGGAGGGGCATGGGGCTGTGGGATTGACTCCCAGGTGTGCAGGAAGGGATCCAGGTGTGCAAGAAGGGGCCCAGGTGTGCACAACCCTCCCAGGTGTGCAGGATCCCCTCTCAGGTGGAAAACGGGGGCACCCAGGATTTGGGGCGCCCCCAGGTGACTCCAGGGGTGCCCCAGGTGACTCCAGGGGTGCCCCAGGTGCCCCCAGGCCTCACCTGCTGCTCCAGCTCCCGGCAGCGCTGCCCCGACCCCTCCTCGGGGGGCTCCTGGCTCAGGTAATAATAGCGGCGGGACTGGGGGGGCACGGGGGGGGCTCAGACACCCCCTGAGCCCCCAAACTGCCCCAGACACCCCAAAATCCGCCCCGCCCATCCTCACCTGAGCGTCGAAGTTCCCGTAGGTCTCAGCCGCCATCGGCTCCGATGGCTCCGGGTCCAAGAGCTGCCACAGGGAGGGAGGAATTGGGGTCTGGGAGGGGCTTTGGGCCCCCCAAAAACCCCGGGGGGGGTCCCCAAAACTCCCCCGAGCCCCTCCAAGCCCTACGGCCCCAAATCTCCCCCAAACCCAACAGGCAGCGACCCCCACAAATGCCCCAAACCATCCCCAGCCCTCTCCAGGGACCCCCAAAACCACCCAGGGACCCCCCAGAACCCCCCCAGTGACCCCCAAACCCCTCAGGGATCCCCCAGAACCCCCCAGTGACCCCCAAACCCCTCAGGGACCCCCCAAAACCACCCAGTGACCCCCAAACCCCTCAGGGACCCCCAAATCTCCCGCACCTCCTGGATGGCCGTCATCACCTCGTGCTGCACCGACTCCTCCAGCGTCATGATGCGCTGGATGTGCTCTGGGGGGCGATTTTGGGGGGTCAGGGGGCGATTTTGGGGGACTCAGGGGGTGTTTTTGAGGGTCAGGGGGCGATTTTGGGGGTCAGGGGGTGTTTTTGTGAGGTCAGGGGGTGTTTTTGTGAGGTCAGGGGGTGTTTTTAGGGGGATCAGAGGGCGTTTTTGGGGGTCAGGAGGTATTTTTGGTGGCTCACGGGGTATTTTGGGGGGCTCAGGGGGTGTTTTGTGTGATATGGGGGTGTTTTTGGTGGTTCAAGGTGTGTTTCAGGTGGGCTCAGGGTGTGTTTCAGGGGTCAGGGTGTGTTTCAGGGGGGCTCAGGGGGCGTTTTGGGGGGCTCAGGGTATTTTTGGGTGTCAGGGTGTGTTTCAGGTGGGCTCAGGGTGTGTTTCAGGGGTCAGGGTGTGTTTCAGGGGTCAGGGTGTGTTTCAGGGGGCTCAGGGTATTTTTGGGTGTCAGGGTGTGTTTCAGGTAGGCTCAGGGGGTGATTTTGGGGGTCAGGGGGTGTTTTTGGGTGTCAGGGTGTGTTTCAGGTGGGCTCAGGGTGTGTTTAAGGGGGCTCAGGGTATTTTTGGGTGTCAGGGTGTGTTCCAGGTGGGCCCAGGGGGTATTTTTGGTGGTTCAGGGGGTGATTTTGGTGGCTCAGGGGGTATTTTTGGGTGTCAGGGTGTGTTCCAGGTGGGCTCAGGGTGTGTTCCAGGTGGGCCCAGGGGGTGTTTTTGGGGCTCCCGGAGCCCCCCCAGCCCCTCACGCACCTTCCCTGCGCTGGCAGCTGACGGCACAGCCCAGCACCAGCCTCACCAGCCTGCGCAGCTGCTCGGGGTCCCCGTGCCGGGCGGCCGCCCCCACGTCGGGCACGTGCTGCTCCCCCACCGCCTGGCCCAGCACCTTTGGGTGGGGGTCCAGGGTCAGAGCCCCCTGCCCAGGGGAGCCCCCCACCCTCAGGGACTCCCCAAAATCCCAGGGGAGCCCCCAGAGCCCGACTCACATCCTGCCAGTACTCCAGCACGCTCTGCAGCACCTGGCGCAGGTTGTTCACCTGGGGAGGGGGCACGAGGTGGGAAACGCCCCCCCAAAAACGGCAAACACAGCCCCGGCGCTGTGACCCCTGGGCACCCCAAAATGGGATCTCCACAAAGACCCCGCTCCCCCGAATCTGATCCCACAAACGGGGCCCCCCCAAATCTGTCCCCTAAAGAAATCAACGCTCCCCAAAAGCCCCCCCGGGACGCCCCCCAAATCGATCCTCCCCAAATCGGCCCTGCCCAAAATGGTCCCCCAAAATCAGCACTCCCCAAAAGCCCTCCCCAAAATGGCCCCCTAAAATCAGCGCTCCCCAAAAGCCCTCCCCAAAATCAGCCCTCTCAAAATGCACCCCCAAAACCCCCCCAAAAACCAGGACCCCCCCAAATTCCTCCCCAAAACCAGCCCCACAAAACCCAAACCTCCTTAATCCAGCCCCCCCAAAACAGCCCCCAAAACCAGCACCCCCCCAAAACGAACCCCATATTGTGACCCCCCCCCAAAAACCCCAATCCCACCCCAATACGAGCCCCAAATTCTGACCCCCCCCAAAACCCTCCTCTCCCCCCACCTTGAGGCGGGCGCTGCCCTCGGTGTCCCCCCGGATCCGTCCCAGCCAGGCCTCATCGAACCACGAGGGGTCACTGGGGAGGGGGGGGTCCCCAAAATCAGCCCGGGCCCGTCCGGGGAGCCCCAAATCCCGGGGGTCCCCCCCAAATCCCGGGGGTCCCCCCCAAATCCCGGGGGTCCATAACTCACATTTGGTGCAGGACGTGGGCCAGGGTGACCCCGCTGGCCAGGTCTGGGGGGGCCGCGCACGGACTGGGGGGGTCAAAGGTCTGCAGCTGGGGAGGGGGGGCGGAAAGGGGGCGTCAGGGACACCCCAAAACCAGGGACACCCCAAAACAGCCCCCCCGGGAGAGTCAGGGACACCCCAAAACCAGGGACACCCCAAAACCAGGGACACCCAAAAGTGCCTCCCTAGAGGGTGAGGGACACCCCAAAACCAGGGACAGCCCCTCGGAGGGTGAGGGACACCCCAAAACTCCCAAAGAGCCCCCCAAGACCCACTGGGGGTAGGGATCACCTCCCCCCCCCCCAAAACTCCCCTCCCTGAATTTGGGGGGGGTCAAAGGGCGCCGGGACAGGGACAAAGGGCGGGGGGGTCACAAGGGCTCGGCCACGTCCCGGGGGGGGACAAAGGTCACCGGGGGGGGGTGAGAGGGACCGTGGGGAGTCACAGGGGTCATGGGGGGGTCAGAGGTGCCCCGAGGGGTCACAGGGTCCCGGGGGGGGTCACAGGTGCCCGGGGGCCACCAAAGCTCCCGAAGCCGCAGGAACCGCTCAGGGGTCCCGGAGGGGGTCCCGGGGCCGATCCCCGAGCACGGGGGGGGTCCCGCTTGAACCGGGAGATCCCGGGGGGTCCCGACCCCCCTTACCCAGGTGAGCAGCGCCCCGCACGCGTCCCGCCCCGCCGCCATGTCCGGCCGGTCCTCCAGGGACAACGGGCCGGTCCTCCAGGGGCACCGAGCCGCGCCCGGAGCGGCCGCACCTGGCCCCGCCCTCCCCGCCCGCCACACCCGCCGCGGCCTCCGGGGCCATAGAGTCGCACCTAGAGCGGCCTCACCTGCCCACTTCCGGCCGCGCCCCTTCCGCTTTCCGCTTGACAATCGAGACGGGGAGGACAGAGCGGCCCCGCCCGCGCGCTGCGCCCCCTGGCGGACACGGCCCGGGCTGCAGGAGCGGGGTCCTCCAAGGCCATAGAGTCGCGGCCAGAACGGCCCCCGGTGAGTCAGGCCCGCGTCCCGCCGCCCCCGCGGCCGCGCCCGCCGGGCCCCGCCAGGCCCCGCCGGCTCGCCAGGGTCAAGCCGGGCCGTTCTCGCCGCGGGGCAGCGGCGGCGGCCACGCCCGCGCTGCGTCAGCGCTGAACCCGACGGCCTCGGCGGCCGGAACCCCCCCCAGTGCCCCCAGTGCGGTGCTGGAACCCCCCCAGTGCTCCCAGAATGGCTGTGGGGGTATCCCAGTGCTCCCAGTATTGCTCCGAGGACATCCCAGTGCGGCTCTGGGGGCATCCCAGTGCTCCCAGTATGGTCTGGGGGCATCCCAGCGCTCCCAGCATAGCCCTGGGGACATGCAAATGCCCCCAGTGTAGGCTGAACCCCCCCCAGTGTGACCCCAGCGCCCTCCCAGTGCTCCCAGTTTGGCCCAGGGCCCTCCCCCGCCGGTGCCGTGCCCCCACCGGACATCCGGGCCCCCCCAGCCCGAAACCCCGGTGGCGGTTGGGGCCGTTGGGGGCCCCAAAAGTCACTTTGGGGGTGGGGGGAGGACACCCCGAGGCCTCCCCGGGAGCGGGACCCCTCCCCAGAGCCCCCCAAACCCCCCAGTGCCCCCCTGGACCCCTGCCCCCCCCCGGGGGGGTCACCTCGGGGGTGACACCGGGAGGTCACAGCGGGGCCAGGCCTGAGTCACGGGGAAGGAGAAGTCGGGAGGGAAAACCCAGCCCCAAAATCCCCTAAAATCCCCTCAAATCCGGGGGGGGAGGGGAGCTGGGGCCTGTCCCCCCCCCGGGAAGTCCTGGGGACCCCCCTGTCCCTCCCCCAGCACGTGCATGTCCGTGTGCAGGCTGGGACACGCGGGGACACGGGGGGGACACGGGGGGAACACATCTGGGCACGGCCCCCCACCCCTGGCTGCGGCCCCTGGGGGTCCCAGGGACTTTTTGGGGTGGTTTTGGAGGGTCCTGGGGTGGTTTTGGAGGGTCCTGGGGTGGTTTTGGGGGTCCTGGGGTGGCTTAGGGGGTCCTGGGGTGGTTTTAGAGGGTCCTGGGGTTGTTTTGGGGGTCCTGGGGTGGCTTAAGGGATCCTGGGGTGGTTTTGGAGGATCCTGGGCTGGTTTTGGAGGTCCTGGGGTGGCTTAGGGGGTCCTGGGGTGGTTTAGGGGATCCTGGGGTGCCCCGTGTGACTCACGTGGGGCCATGGAGGGGACACGAGGGCACAGGTGTGACCTCAGGAGGTGACACAGGTGTGGATGGCCGGGCACGTGACCCCTGGCACCCACCTGTGCCCCTGGCACCCACCTGCCCCCCCGCCCGTGGCGCTCACCTGTCCCCCTTTGCACGCTCGCCCCGCTTTTCACACCTGAGCCCCCTCCTGCTCACCTGCCCCTGCCTTTGGCCTCACCTGACCTCTCCTTGCTCACACCTGTCCCCCCCTTTGCTCACCTGTCCCCCCCCTTTGCTCACCTGTCCCCCCCTTTTCCCACCTGTGCCCCCCAAATGCTCCCGGGCCCCGCCCCTTTTCCCGCTGGGGGCGTGTCCATGCCGGAATGAGCGTGTCCCTGCGAAGGGGGCGTGTCCTGCGCCCCCCCAGCCAATGGCGGCGCGCTTCCGCCGCGCGCGCCCATAAAGCCGCGGGTTCCGCGCGGGGCCGCGGGTTCGAGTCCCGCCGCTCCCGGATGGAGCCGCCGTTCTACCGCCCCGCGCCCTTCCCGGGCGGCTTCTGCCGCGCCGAGCCCGACTACGGCTCCTTACCGGGGCCGCTGCCGCAGGGCCCGCCGCAGGAGCCCTTCCGCGGCCTCAAACCGGCGCCGTGCCCCGACGGCGCCTTCTTCGGCAGCGGCGCCGCTACCGGCGGCTTCTTCTACCCCGGTACCGGCGAGCGCGACGGATTCACCGGCAGCTTCGCCCAAGCGCTGGACGAGCTGCACCAACCGGGGCCGCCCAACGTGGCGCTCCCGGAGCCGCCGGCGCTGAGCACGACGGCGGCGGGGATGGGGGGACCCTTCCCGGGGGTCCCCGGAGCGGAGGCGGCGGAGGCGGCGGCGGAGCCGGGCGCGGATTCCCCGGAGCGGCTGCAGGCGGAGCGGCGGAGGCTGCGGAACCGGCTGGCGGCGAGCCGGTGCCGGCGGCGGAAGCTGGAGCGGATCGCGCGGTTGGAGCAGCGCGTCCGGGGGCTCCGCGCTCAGAACGCCGAGCTGGCGGACACGGCGGCCGTGCTGCGGGCCCAGGTGCGGCGGCTCCGCGGCTCCGTGCGCGACCACGCGGGCTCGGGGTGCCCGCTGCCCCCCGGGGCCGCGCTCGGCTTCTAGAACCGGCACCGGGGGGGCTCCGGGGCAGCGCTGGATCCTTCCCCGGGGGGCGACCCCCGCTCCCGGCTGGGCACCGAGCGGCGGGGACGCCCCCGGTCAGGGACACGGACACGGCGGTACCGGGATGCTCCGTGAGACCCCCATGGACACGGCGGTACCGGGATGCTCCGTGAGACCCCCATGGACACGGCGGTACCGGGATGCTCCGTGAGACCCCCATGGACACGGCGGTACCGGGATGCTCCGTGAGACCCCCGTGGGCACGGCGGTACCGGGATGCTCCGTGAGACCCCCATGGACACGGCGGTACCGGGATGCTCCGTGAGACCCCCGTGGGCACGGCGGTACCGGGATGCTCCGTGAGACCCCCATGGACACGGCGGTACCGGGATGCTCCGTGAGACCCCCATGGACACGGCCCCCGCCGGCTCAGAGAAGGGGGGACTGCACGAGAGACCCCCCCCAACGTGGACCTGGAGGGGCTGGGGACCCCTGAAAGGACCCCCGAGGATGGGCGACCCCCGGGCTGGGGGTACCGGACCGGCAGGACCCCCCCATGTCCCCCCCCGGGGCAGGACCCTCGGGACCGGCGGGAACGGGGCCTGGGGGATGCGTGGGGACCCCCAAAGAGGGGCCTGGAGCCCCCCCCAGCTGGGCCTGGGGACCCCGCGGTTCTCGGGGAGGGCTCGGGCCCCTCCGAACCGGGGATTGCGCGGGAGGGGCGGGCGGAGCCCCCCCGGTGACGTTTACAGGACCCCCCCCGGTGGGGAGCGGCCCCCGGCGACCCCCCAGTCCCGGGGCGGGGGGCGATTCGTTGTCGCTGCTGATTTTTTTTTGTACATTTGTATTTAATAATTATTAATAATAATGATGATGATGATGATAATTGCGGTACCGGCTCTGGTCGCGCTGCACCGGGGGCGGCGGGGCCGAGCGGGTGCCCCCTCCCCCCTCCCGTGGGAAGCCCCCCGCGTGCACCGGCGTCAACGGAAGTGGGCGGGGCCGGGGCTTTCCCCGCTGACGCAATCATGCCCTTATTTGGGCAGGCGGGAGAGGGCGGGGCCGTTCCGGGAACCCCCTCCCGCGCTTCCCGGACGGACGGGGGGGGACACGAGGCTTCCGGGACACCCCCGCCGCCACCCCCCCCTCCCGGGACCTTCCCGGGACCGTCCCGGGACCCCGTGCCCGCCTCCGCCGTCCCGGGGACCTTCCCGGACCCTCCACCCCGCGTCTCTCCCGGTGCTGCACCGATCCCGGGAGCCCCCCCGGCCTTTCCGGTCCTGCACCGATCCCGGGAGCTCCCCCGGCCTTTCCGGTGCTCCGCAGACCCCGGGAGCCCCCCCGGCCTTTCCGGTGCTGCACCGATCCCGGAGCCCCCCCTGGGGGGGCATCCCGGCCCGTTAAACCCCGCCCTTTCCGTTAAACCCCGCCCTTTCCGTTAAACCCCGCCTCCCTCCGTTAAGCACCGCCCCCGAGAAATGGCGCCACTATCGAGTGCGCAGCCCCCGCTAAACCCCGCCCCTAAATAAAGCCACGCCCCTCACCTCGCGCCCGCGCCGTGATTGGCGGTATTTGGGGAGCCGCCCCGTTAGGCCCCGCCCCGTTCCCGTTCGCCATGGCGCTCTCCGCGCTGCAGCGGGACCCGGCGAGCGGCGGCCGCTTCGCCTCCGCCGTGCCCGGCCCGTGCCGCGCCCGGCCCTGCGCGCTCGGCGTGGACGAGGCGGGCCGGGGGCCGGTGCTCGGTGAGACCGGGACGGGAACCGGGACGGAGCGGGCCGGGGGCACCGGGGGTTGAGTGGGGGGGTCCCGGTGCCCCGGGGTCCCCGCTGACCGCCCCGGTGCCCCCCAGGCCCGATGGTTTACGCCGTCTGTTTCTGCCCCGAGGACAAAGTGGAGGAGCTGGAGGCGCTGGGGGTGGCAGGTGGGGCCTGCCCGGGGGTCCCGGAGGGGTTTGGGGGGTCCCGGGGGGCTGAGTGGGAAGGACGGGGGGGTCACAGGAACGGGGGTTGGGGGGCTCGGGGGGTCCCGAGGGAGCTGTGGGGGTTCCGGGGGTCCCAGGGGTGCGTTGGGGGAGCTGTGGGGGTCTCGGGGTGGGTTGGGGGGTCCCGAGGGGTTCTGGGGAGTTCCGGGGGAGCTGTGGGGGTCCCGGCGAGGTCCCGAGGGGTTCCCGGGGGTCCCTCACCCCTCCCGGCCCCCCAGACTCGAAGACGCTGTCGGAGGCGGAGCGGGAGCGGCGCTTTGGGCTCCTGGAGGCCGCGGGGGATTGGGTGGGGTGGGCGCTGCAGGTGCTGCCCCCCGCCCACATCTCGGCCTGCATGCAGCAGCGGTGAGAGCCCCCCCAAAATCCCGGGGGGACCCCGATGCTCGGGGAGCCCCCCCCCATCCTGGCTCCCCCCAGTTTGGGCTAATTCGGGGGTGACGCCCCCCGACCCCCCCCTCGCAGAGCCAAGTACAACCTGAACGAGCTGTCCCACGACACGGCCACGGAGCTCATCCAGTTCGTGCTCGACTCGGGCGTGCAGGTGGCCCAGGTGGGGTTTGGAGGGCCCAGGTGGGGTTTGGGGGGGCCCAGGTGGGGATTGGGGGGCCCAGGTGGGATCTGGGGGGGGCCCAGGTGGGGTTTGGGGGGGCCCAGGTGGGATCTGGGGGGGCTGGGGGGGGGGGCCAGGTGGGATTTGGGGGGGGCCAGGTGTGGTTTGGGGGGCCCAGG